GATTGAACACGCCGCAGAAGTGGTTACATCATACGCCGCCGAGGTCACGCGTTGGCCGAGGAGATGACTGACCTTAAGTAGCGATACGCAATGGTGCCCACGTTTTCATAATTTTTTCATCCTTTTAATAAAATAGAAAAATAAAGGACTCCATCTTGTTCTGAGTGATAACTGCAGTCAGCTACGAAGCACCGTCCCATATCCCGGTCTTATTCTTAATGTCTGAGAAAATGATAATTTTAAGTAGTTAGAAGCAAATCATTTGAGAAGCAATTCCTATGAAAGGTTTCAACCCTATGGTAAAATGGCGGACGAGACACACTTCACTATTGGAGACGACTCTACGTGACGGTACACTTTTACGGTGTATACATTAATTTAAATATTCCCTCCCTAAACACGTGGCTGGAAAATCGAATCCCCGTCTCACTTACAGAACATTCTTTGTCACATGGAGAGAAAACAAGGTCTGTACACGACCTGTCAATCATTCAAAATATTTTCTACTCAAGATTTGTTGGGACTTGTGGGGCCTTTGTGGAGAAAGTTGCATGTACTTTCAAGTCAAAATGCCAGTTGTAAAAACATTCATCGGACAAGTTAAATTATCAATTAACTTTAGGTCCCACGACAAATAATGGAAGTTTAGATACATGTCTTTAAGTAAACAAATTGTACATTCATAATGCCAAATATCCAAATCCATTTAAAATTCGACAGAATGGCTTTTCTTTTAAACTGACGAAGGGCAGCTGCCGTTCGATATTATTCAGTCCAGTAATTATCCATGTTCTGTGATTCATTAATGCATTGAACCTTATCGCACAAAGAACCGTTTTTATATGTTATCATGTTGCAAACAGCAATATTAAATCTAGTGAAAGTAACACCTTATCGTTCAGTTGGATCATAAACGATGATTTCCTTCCAAATAATTAGAAAGTAATTGATACAGTTCCCAAGTGGCTATACTACGTATCATGCAACTCCCCGTTGACTGCATGCAACATCGAGCAAGCCCATATTCTTTATCACTTCAGATAATGTTTCTTAATCACTTTAATTGGCTCCCTGCCAACTCAGACTGTCGTGATTGAGCAACGAATCTTGTAAATTAATAAAGCATGAATAATCAGGGTTCTGCGAAAGGCAAGGCATCATGTACTTTCTGGTTGCTATTTTGTCATATTCTTTGAATCACAACTTGAAATTTAATATTTATATATTTAACCTATGACTTTTTATGAGAAGTTTTCATCGTAACGGAATACTGGTACCCCCTGATCGATCCCCGCCCCGCCCTGCACAACCCTTTCACACAAGTCTCTCCACCTGCCTCATATCCTAATAAGTCATGTGATTTTAAGGTTCTTTCCAAGATGTGCATGGATTTTCACCTCTATATTTGAAGGGAAAGCGATTATCATGTAATTCCCAACACGTCATTACATTTGAATTTGAAATTCGAATTTGTAGCAGTGCATTATTTTGATTCCTGCTGGAGTCTGTTCATCGTTTGTTTCCCTTTTCTCAAAATGTTAACATTATTGTTACCCTTGTCACTTATAGAAGCAAAATCTTTCTTTGAGTCTCTTTCGAAAAACACGTCAAATGTTTTTACCCACGGATTTCTTTGTTTTCATTTGATGTCTTTTGGGTGCCAGTTTGACGTAGGCTCCTGTTTGTGTGGTCATGTGTTTGGGCTTTCTTAAAGAATACAAAAATAGACTGAAAACACAGTCCGTAGAAAAGTCGAAAAACGTACAAACACGGTTGATATGATACTTGATAAGCATCGCTGCGTAAACACAGCTTGGTCTGCTTTTGGCGTTCAGAAATGATTTTCTGCAATACTCGACTCATATCTTCAAGCACTCGGCGTAGTACGTTCCAGCTACTGGCAACATCTAAACATGTAGGCACGCCCCCACACTTCCAAGAAACACAGCACACAAAATCATATATGCATGTATAAAAAACTGAAACAACGAAAGCATAAACTGACCAAATAAAAGAGAAAGATTGAAGATTATAGGGTGGAATATATCACTGCATTAGTTTCTTACCCTGAGACAATAATTCTTTACTTGAACGAATAAAATGACCAGGGCGGGATCATAACCCGTCACTACCTGAATTGTCTGAGTCGTTGATGGTCTTCCAATTTGCCATTTTGTTTTCGTTCCGATCAACTATAGGCCTAAATAACATGCAATCAGCTGATTCCGCATGAAACAAAACCATTTGAAACCCGAGTCTAGAATCCCTCATACTACATTTTGATTTTTCTCTGACATCAAACAAGAATGACCATATTTTAATGTTATTTCTCAAAGCACCTAGGCCTATCCTTTCATAAAAAAGAAGGTGTCGGCTGATGAACTTGGGCAGTGAACGCAACTGCTCAATGACAATGTCTTTTGACAGTTTTGATGAAAGGTCCCTGTCTTAAAATAGAGACGATATCAATTTAAACAATCGTTGTCTTGAACTGTACTCCTTAGTTGAATATACCTTCATCTCACTATTCAAAGGTATTAAACTATTCCTTTAAACTCGAGGATATTTGTACACTTGAACAGCCGGTGCTGAGTCTCGTCTTTTAGTGACTAGTAAATTGCGTTAGAAGAGGGGGATTGCAATAAATTTGCAATGCATGTGTTCCGGGCCGTCGGTGTGAGTAACGTCTCCTCGTTTGAGGCTTTATATTTTCCCGCGAATTGTCTAGCTTCGTGAGTCATACAATGGTTTAAAAGGGTCCGAGGTTGACTTACACTGTGCATTTTCAATTGCTGTAATTCAAACTCGACCCCAGTGTCATTTGCATTGATATATAGACGGTCGTTTTCGACAACCCATCTGATTCTTAATTCAGAGCAGATTGACAATGTGGTTGAAGAAAATGAAAAAAAAAAACACCCGGACGCGTCGGAAAAAGAAACAAAAGATTTTATTTACATCTTGCATGCCCTTCTACGATTTCCCTGAATTCGTATTTCATTATTCACATGGCTTGAATTGGAAGGTTTTCTTTCGTTATTTAAAGCTTATTATGTGTTGATATAAATCCGAAATTCTCCCTGTCGAAATTCCCACATACCGCATTAAAGTATTTGTTTCACAATTGTACCTGCAAGCCATCATAACTGAATATTTTCAGGCTGGTTTTAAATTCAGCACAGTGGGTTTTTCATACTTTGACATTTAGAAAAGGGATAACAAAGTATCCATTTCATTTTCCTGAAAAAAAAATATATCATTTATTTAATGCCATCAAATGCGACGCTTGAGGCAAAAATATTATTCCAAAACAATAAAATCCGAATTTTCAGATGATGTTTTCAGGCAATCATGAATAATGTTTGTGGAGTCATCTGACGTTTTTGCCATTGCACATGCACACACATATTTGCATGCGATTTCTATGTATCCTGATATTTATTTCTCGATGTAACCGAACAAAATAAAGATTACAAACGATGCACCCGCGATTTTATGGTACATGTAGTAAAATTGTTTCGCTTATTTTCGATGCGATTTTAATTTCATGAGTAGAGAATATTCAAAAGACGTACATATAACATTTAGTAATCCTGAATGAATATACATGTAATTGATAAAAAAACTGGTGGGTAGCCATGGCAACGAACAATAAAAAAAGCTACCATGACCACTCTGTCCTTGGCTGTATACTGTCAGAGTCGACATCTAGCGGAACGCTTAAAAACATCGGTATATACCAATTCTGCTAAATATCGCCGAGTCGGAATCGTGTCTAATGGTTTTTCGTTTCGGATGACTGATGCCGATTCACAGAACAATTGTGGTAAACGTGCCTTTTTTTTTAATTAGCTCGCAAAATAAGTAATTAATGAGCGTCGTATTTTCACCGGAAACCAAGACATGTTTTTTTTCAAATTGCAAGGGCAGGCTCGCCAGACGGAAGTCAATAAACATCAGGAAAACAACGACAGGAAACCAGATGTTAATTGTTTAACCAAAGCAATGTTTCACTTGCAGTTAATTGTGTATATACAGTTCGAAATGTAAAGTACGGCGCGTGTGATCCGCTCGGCACAAAAAGTCGCTTTTTAAAATGTATAAATCTTTGTTTTGAAAATTTACAAAAGGAAGATTTATCATTTCACCGTTTATCTCAAATTACTCCGAAGAAGATTTTTGTTATTATTGAATGTCTTTTTCTTAACTTTTCAAAACATTAACGATTTTCTGTTGGGGAAGCGAGAACCGCTCAATTACGACTCTAAAAGGAACGTTTTTTGTTTTGTTTATTTTTTACGAGAAGAGGCCGTTCAATAACAATGAAGAGAAACCTGTTGTAATAACAAAAGTGTATTTTATTGCCCATGTGTCTGGGCTACATTGAATGGTAATACATAGGGCCTACAATTGAAGTAGCGGAACCATGGGCGTCGTCAGGATTTTTTTCCGGGGGCAAAGCACATTTCCCCCAAAAATTCCTTAACTTTTTCTACATATTCTCAATTTATCATTTTTTCAAGCGTGGGCAGGGGAACATTTGCCCTAACAACCTTCCCCCAATTAAATTAACGGCAATTATGGCTTCACATCTCTTTTCTATTGTTTTCCCTTTTCCAGGGAGGGGGGGGGGCGCAATTCCTCCTTACCCCCACCCCTCGCGACGCCCATGAGCGGACATTATTTATTCAGGTATTATTATAACTTGTTTTTGAAAGATTTAGGGGAACTTATTATTAATTAATAATTCATCAGATTTAGTAGAAAATAACGCGCAAAATACAAACCCTGCCCTGAGTGCAGTCGAGCCCTCAGACTTACACTCGGCCTCAGTGAGATTTGGGAAGAAAGAACAGTTCTAGAAAAAAAAAAGTCTTATCCTTCAGAAATTTTGTTTGGGTCATGCGCATGCGCCGTTGTATCTTAGTGATCATTTCAAGAGAAATTTGGTCCCACGCAGAATATACGCGTTGAAGTGTCGGGAGCCATGCCATGCACACCCGCAGCGTATTGGTTTAGCAGCCAAGCTTGGGAATCCACTAATTCCATATCATCATCAGAGAAGAGGGAAAACAAAACGATCTACTATCACAGGCTAGGAGTGACATTTCTCCAGCTATTATTCGTCATACCTGCCATCAATCAATTAGTCATCCTCCAGTGGGCCAACCTGCACACATCTTGTGCCGTGCTGGGAGTGTTTATATTTAAACCAATCACAATCGGAGATAAGTTGTTCGGTCCGTCGTTTATTTCGCCTGGGTGCGTCCACGCCTGCCACTGGCTGCATAGATCTCGCCAGCCATTCGGCGCATACCCACTCAAGAAATTACTGAATTTTGTCCGCCAGACAAGATATTTTCAAGTTTATGAAAACTTCTCTGCTGTTTCCCTTTCTGTCTCTTTGATAATAACGAGGCTCGGATAATTTCCATTACGTTTACGGGAGGACTTGTGCCCAGCCTTGGGGAGGACATTCCAATGGCGTGCAGCAGATTGTCTTACGGTATTTTGGCTGTCATGATGTGTCTGGCTCTGATAACATCAATAAGTGCAGCACACAGTAAGTAAACGACTTAGAAATCGACAGTTCGCTGATTGTTATTTCCTAGAGAGAAAACTCCGTCCTTTTTTTTCAAAGAAATGAAATTGTCAAATTCAGTGAAGGAAAACATTGTTTGACTTGTTGCTCAGAAAAATTAAAAATCGTCCCCTAGAGAGAATATAGTTGTATTGAATAGTGCATTAATTTATAAACTGCATGATTTACTGTTTTTTATAAAGATTTTTTTGGCGAGCCATTAAAGACGATTTTACCGTTATTAAGATATGTTTAATTTAATATCCAGATCTTTCGTGTCTATGTAGTGTTCTGTGAGGACTAAGTAATTGCAGAAACCAAGTCTGTGACTTCAGTTGTTTGCTTTATCCAGAGTTGATTAATTAAGGGTTGTTCACGGAATGTATAACCAAAAAAAGAGAGAAAAATACAGAGGAAACATGTTGCCCTTGTCACCCGTTTGATTTACGGAGGTGAGGTATTTATAATCACATTTTGTTTTTAACTCCAGGGTGCGATACTTGCAACAATGCCCGGTGCCAAGAAGTATGTGGTGGTTCACGTGAGTATTGACATTAATTATCAAAATAATGAAGAGAAATGAAAACGTAAATTTAAATGTAAATTATGCTGCGTTCTGGAATCTTCATATAGATCAGTGTACTTTTATTTTTAGCCATATACCTGAAGAAGAAATCTCATGACAAAGCAGACATAATGGCCTATGAAAAGGGCCTTTGTTGTAAATATTTTTTTGAGAGTTAGAGTACCGCAAAACATGGACTTAAAAGTGTCTAATAGAGGGGTGTATCCGCGGCATGCGCCGTTCTTGTATTTGTATTGCCCAAAGGCACTTCACTTACCGTGGTTTCAAAAGGCCATTGTGGCAATGGTCTACTTTCCTCCGAGGGGAATACCCGTCAGAGCATAATGGAGATAGATATCCTCGGTAATTCTAAACTCACGTGTTTTATTGCAGTTGGAGTGGTGGGCAAGCGTACTTTGCCCAGGTATCCAGACTTCGCTGCCTATATTCAAGATCAGGTAAGCTGAGGCTTATATACCTTTATCATGCTGACACCATTTCAGCCATGTTCCCTGTATCAAATAAACGTACTGAATTATGTTTTCTGTGCAAAAAGGAACCAGACTATTTTTCCTTCCAGCCTCGCTTTGGTTACGTTAATTTGTGTGTTAAAAAATCAAGATGGCCGACACAAGATAATGGTCTATTGGCTGGTCCCAGAAGGCCAGCCGAGTGTCACGTTTGTACCTATCGCACTGACTGACTGACTGACTAACTGACTGACTGTCACTTAATGTGGTTGTAGACTGATGAAGATAGCCGGGCAGTGCTATCGAATAGGTTCACTCCGCAATGAATGGTCAAATCCTGCCAATTGTAATGCATAAAAAGACTTCCAGTGAATAGACATTCTAAATCATCGCTCTGGGGCTGCTAAGATTGTCTTGTTAGTGGATCATCGACCCATATCTAGTTTGCATTTCATCCTATTAATTCTGGAGGAAATCCTATATTATTTTTATCAGTTCATTGCAAATTATCATCACTCGAGGTCTTGCATTCTGACGTCACAATATTTTGTTTTGTAATTTGTATAGATCTCTTCAATATTCGACCAATGTCTAATACCAAACTATTACCTGCCGATTTACTTAAACGAGCTCTTGACTGTATGTCTACTCGAATTGTCATCTACAATAAAATACACTACTCTGCCAACCAGTCAAGAAATCGACTTAGCATTAATTTTCTTACAAGTTCCAATTGTACTTTGAGAATCAATGTGAGGTTATTCTAAGGCTTTTGTAGCCGTCCTTGTACATCGTCTTGTGGGCTAAGTTGACCAAGTCTCATAAAGGCGTTTAAATAGCATAAGCATAACCAAAAATAGAGACATTTTTTGTTTTTACCTCTGGTTGTGATTGATATTTTCGTTATTGGGCCGATTTTCTTCAGATTCAAAAGCGGGAACCAGAATCGTGTGGAATGTTGGACATTTATCGTGCAGTTCCTCCGTCCTGCTATGCCAAACTGGACTGGGTAAGCTCTCATCTTTTTATATTTTAAACTACGACCAAACCCATGGAGAGCCCTCTAGAAATTTAGGCTCCTCAAGCCCCCCCCCCTTCAAATTGGGCCCTTGTTATGCCGATGCAGTACATCGGCTTACATGTTCCTTTTTAAAGTACAAAATGTATACTGTAGGGCCTACTGCTTTATTGCGTATAGTGAGGATTCCAAGGTTTCTCTGAGCAAAACAATGGGCAGAAAAATAGGGACATTACATAAAAAACTTTCACAAAATCCCATCCTATTTGGAAGGATATGGAACTGCTTGAATTAAGAACATAACAAAATTTCACAAAATACCTTATGAATATTGTATCATTGATTAATAATATATAATTTTACTGATGAAAAATGTCAGTAAAACAAATAATTCATGATACAAAAATTATAATATAACCTTGCTCAAGTATGTTTCTTCGTTTAAATACACGCATGCACTTGGCATGATCAACGATTATTGCAAATTATGTACAGAGTAGAAATCCATTTGGTATTGTTTGATAGCTGCATGCATGGCTGATGCAGCACAACAGGCCTACGGCTTGTTAACTAGCTGACTCTAGATGGAGCGTTGGGGCCACATTTCGCCTGACTTGCCCAGACCACTCATAGATCAACACAATAATCACAAGATAACTACAAAAGGATTGACCTAACTTTGGGGTGAATGTTTTGCTTGCTAAATATTTTCACCCACGCTCTTTCGTAGCATCAGTTTGATAGACGGAAATTTGATAAAAGCTTGACGCACGTTGTGCTGTGACATCCAGCGTTTTATTGCATTTCTGTTTTTAATTATAAATTCGTCTCTCTTTTCAGCACAAGGCGTTACATCATAACAATCTTTCGTAATTCTTAAAATAACCAAAGACGAAATAAACAACACGTTTACCAAAACAAAATAACAAAACAAAAACTACAGGATGGCAAAAGTAAATGCAAAGACTGTGGTTCTTACCCAAACTACATTTTTAAAATTTCTTTCCACAAAGTAATACATTTGAAAAACAACCCTACTCCCTTGTTGAGTTACCCTAAGAATAAAACGTTATAAGATCGGTTTAATAAAATGTAAAGTTTTTCTCGAGTAGTAAAAATAAAAATTGGGGTACATGAATCGAAAATCTTTTTTTTTCTTGGGGGGGGGGGGGGGGGTTAAAAACATGGGACCGCGGTAAAGGCTTGAAGAATAGGAAGTCCTTAAAATATGAAATATATGTGGACTGATTTTTACCGTCAGGTAACTCTCGTACATGCAAACGCCTCATTCCTGTGTGTTTTTAGTCCTTGAATTCAAATCCGTTGTTTCTTTTAGAGAGAAAAATATCTCTACGACTCCAAAAGCATCGAAGATGGAAACCCGTAGTCGAGTGCTACGTGTATCTCAGTGAAATGACAGTGTTTATTGTCAGTTTGATTGTCACCACTTTTTACAAATCAAATTAATTTTTTCTCACATTTATATCGAGTTATCTTCGCAAGTTGGCAAGTTGTGCATACATAACCATGCAATGAATATAGTACATCTCTGTTATTTTTTATGATGGAGTAACCTTGACTGTCCAAAAAAATGTTTAAACAATGAAAGGAGTGCACATTAACATATATCCTACCTATTGTATTCAAGGGCGGATGCAGAACTCAATTTGTTTTGGGGGCCAAACAATGTTTGGTCCCCCAAAAAGTGGGTCCAAAAAATTACGGCGTGGGGTTCGGGGCCCGCTAAAGCCCCTGTCACACTTGTCCGAATCGTCACTCCGTTCATGTTCCGAGTAAAACATTGTGGATTCGGTGTTTAATCGGTTTGAACTGAACTCAAACGGGTTTCCCTCGGTTTTCCTCGGTTTTCCAACGCTATATACTCGTGTACGTTCGGTGATGCACTGAGGAACTCGGAGAAATTATTGAACCTGTTTAGTCATTTCTCCGAATTGTCGCGGCAACCTCAATACGGACGGTATCCGGTATACACACGGAATATGCACGGAATGCACGGAATACACACTGTACTCATTCGTTGCCATTCGTTGCAATGCGGAATAGGTACGGAAGAGTACGGAACAGGCCTCCGATTCCGATCGATAACCGTATGTATTCAGAGTTCATTCCGAACCCATACCATTGTAATGCCGATCAAAAAAAGGACGCACCGAATATAAACGGAATGCTCGGAAAGCGGTCGGTCTTGAGATCAATGAGTTTATTAGGCATGTCCGGTGATGATCGGAGAGGTTCTGAATATAAACGGATTGCAATCGGAATAGCAACTTATTAGATCCGGAATAAGACCGGATTATGATCGGTGTATTTTCATTTCTGGCTGGTTTTTGACATTTCTCTCCGAACGTGTCCGAATTAATAATATTTCAGATCGGTTTATGAACGGAATTATAGATTCGGACAAGTGTGACAGGGGCTTAAAGGGCCGCTAAAAAGCCCCGAAATTTTTTGGTATTCTAGATTTCTGTGGTGCGATCTGAGGCAATTTCTGACCACTTTGATAAACTATTTTTGAGGACAAGATGGTGTCGTACGCAGAGCCTGCCTTTAAAAATTGGGTTCTTTTGGGGGTTTGGAGGGGGGGCGGGGCAATGGCCCCCGTTGGCTCCCCCCCCCCGATCCGCCCTTGATTACATCGAGTTCCCTTCTTGAATGATCCTCCTTAGTGGGCGTTCGCCTACGAAGCCGCCTCCCCCGCGAAGCAGGCGAGGCAAACGACACCTCCTGACACAAAACATCCCCTCTCAAACAAAAGGCGGGGGAAGGAATTGTATAAACTGAATAGCTCTAATTTCGCATTCTTGTCGCTGTAATTTTGAAAAATTGTCGATTGTCAATCGATTCTGTATAATTCCTCCATACGACACCGAGTCCTCAACTTCTTAAAACATTGCCACTATTATTCAGAATACAAGTCAATACACTAACTGAGTATGTACAAATTCTACACTGCGCTGTAGCCAAAGAGGAGTATTCACCATTCTAAAGCTTCCGCCCTTGTATTATTTACCCACAAAAATCAAACGACTGACATATTTCCACAATAAATTTGAAGGACGTAGTGCACTGATCCAATCAGATAAGCCAACTTGGAATCCAGCTTTGACCCTTCACCTTTCTTGGGATACAGTGAAGATAAAAAGACTACTTCCTTAAAAGCACAGAGCTTGACAATTCCTGCGTCTTAGCCTGTTAATTAAATTCATCGGGCATCGATTTTGTGGCTTTCCCTCGTGCAAACCCCTCCGTATCAATGTTGCTTGATTCACTCACAACCAGAGGCAGTTTGGACACCCCTTCTTCACTCCCCAAGCATCAGCTGCCGACAAATATCTCAGGCATCTTGCAAGACACTCAATTTATATCAAGGCGCTGCATCTGCAACCTGCTGACCCGTGTATTGCACTATTGCTTGATAAGGAAAAAAACACATCCGCTAACTCAGTGTACACACAAATTATGTTATACAATAGTGGGTAATTTCTTCCGTAAGGGTTTCAAATGCAATTGGAGGCATTCTCCAATGCAACACATTTTGTTGCCAGCTTCACTTCATCTTCAGCTTCGATATCATTTAGAAGCCTTGCGTGATGAAGTAAAAATGATATATTGTTTGTCCCCATATCATTATAATTTTATGTTCAGCAGCAAAACAAAATCCCTAGTACGCATTCCGTGTATTTCTCACCAGGCATCTTTGAATGCACCTAGATTTTGAAGAAAAAAAAGGTCACAAAAAAGCGGGTTAACGCCATAAAAGAGACAATCGCTATTGATTTTTCAATGGGAAAAAACGAAACGAGTTGTAGTGTTGAATCAATTCAAGATGTATTGCTAAAATGAAACTGAAACGGATATCCATAATATTGCTTTTCCTTTAACAGAACTTGTATGGCAAATTTGCTGGTCAGAAACACCCGTTCAAAAAAATTGGAACGGTAAACTTTTTTATTTGTAGAAAAACACTGTCTGAAATGAGATATATTAATAACATTGGCCTTCTTTTCTTCCATTGTGCCCTTGCCTACTTCATTTGACTCTGTTTTTTTTATTGGATTTATAGTCTTTCTGTTTCCTTTTCCTCCTCCTCCTCCTCCCTCCTTAATTCTCCTCATATTTATTTCCTCCTGTTTTTGATTTTTCCTCTTTTGGGTTGTCACTTGCAGTTGGTGAGCAAGGCAGAGGATTATCTTCTCCATGACGAGTAGGAGGAAACGTGCTGAAAGCCTGCACGATGCACTGACGAATCAACTACACCTTGCGTGCACACATCGACAATCTACTGATCAGAGAACGAATTTCTCGATTCGAAAACTCGTCTTGAATGGAAGGAAAAATCTTTCATTTGATTGAAAAAATTATAGTTTCATTTACAACTCTATCAAAACGTCTTAACGGAATGTTGTTTCGGATTTAGGCATTTAGATTTTAGAATTTCGATCTATAGGTATTAGTCAAGATTCATGATTTTCAAAAGAGGTTTGATGTTTTGGATTGTAGATTCATGTAAACTTGTTCAGAAAAGATCCGACCCATACTTTGGGTGGTTTTAAATCTGATTAATGTATATTTTGCTAAGGTTTGTTTAAAGGTGCTCTACCCATACTCTGGAACATACTCGGTTTTTTTTTCTCCTCACGAATTGGTAGGATTTATCTAAAAATATTTTTTTGATTTTTCAACCCTCTGAAAATATGCTTTTATTTTTGATTGCTTTTACGCCCATATCGCAAAAATATGTGTCTGGATTATTATCATGCCGAATATAATATGAAATGTGTAAAGCACTAAGTCCGCAATTAAACGTTGTTGGATGAGATTGCTAGATGTCTTATTTAAAAATTAAAAATAAATAACTTTTGGTTTGCTTGGAAAAAAAGACAATTAAACAGACATCTATCCACGGAAGAGCAACGTTAAAACAACTTTTGAGTTATAAGGTGGATTAAGTCTCAAGCTTATCTTTCCGTTTTAACATTGTGTTTTGCTAATATTGCTAAAACTAAAGTGCCTTTGTGAATTATGTACAATACAACATGCACAGAAAATATAGATTTCTGCACACACACAAATTGTGGCCTGTCTGTGGTGAATAATAGACTATATAGTTCGAACGAACAACAAGCAAGAATTCCTGAATTTCTTTTGTTCGTGTAAATTATTTATTTTGTTCTTTGACATCATTTTCAAATTCAATGAATTCATTAGTGCGAAGAGCTGCATGGTCACACGTTGTCATGATAGATATTAATTTACAGTAATTTATATTATAAACTGAACTATTGACACGATTGAGGCTCCAACAAGTGTGGCGGCCTGATGATTGGTATGGTTCACTGCGCCGCAATGGTTACACAGGTCGATTGCAATTATCAAAATAACGATTCGACACAGTCATATCGAGCTAAAGTATTTTTTAACCTTCGTTCTTTTATTGCCTTAAAAAAATAATATTTTAACAAAAATACGAAATCATCACACAATGAGAAGTGTCCCTATTTGGTTGGTGCCAGACTTTAAAACATGGAGGGGGGTGCATGGCAAGGGAGGGGCAAAGAGATAATTTGGGTGGGCAACAAAGAAAAGTCACCAGCCGTGGGAAAAAAACCCGAAAATCGGGGGAGCCTAATTGGTAAATCACCCATTAATGGGCGATTTGTACACGATATAATTTTTTTCAACTATTTTGTTTACTTTCTAAATAAACATAATAACATATAAATGTAAAAACTTACATGTTCTGGCAAAATATCGTAATCATGTGATCAATTTCATCTCATGACTGGAACAAACTTTACAACAGAAACCTCAGCACAAGCAGAAAATCATTAGTTTCTTTATCATGAACAGTTTAAAGCTGATGGTATTTCTGTTTGCCTAAATTCTTATTAAACTTTTTATCAAAACAATTATTGACGAGGTGTATTGACGGGGGATACCCCGAGCGGATCCGCTTATCCCCCGTCCGGATCCGCTAATGTGGATGCATGACAGTTGATATACATGCCAAACATTGAGAACAACAGAAGTGTGCAAATGTTTCGATTTGACTTTCGAACCTTAATGAGCCTGACATCGTCATAATCAGGCTGATACAAAGTGCATGTCGTTGTTTTATAATGCGTCAATGGACTTTTCTCATGAGCATTAATTATCTGACTAAAATACACGTCCAACTAACTAAAAAAATGATGTCACAGGGTTTCCGTCATTATTTTGTTTACTGTATGCCAAAATGAATCATCGAACCGAGACAATTATTGGCTTTAATTATGTGTTGTCCTATATTTTTTTCTCGTGAGGCTCCCGTAATGGCTCTAGATCTCCCGAGATCTCGAGAGTTTCCATCGATTCTTTACCAAATCTCGACACTCGATCCACTGCCTAGTTAAATCAATTCTGTCCATTTGGGTTTCCAAATGAAATAACATCAGTGCACTGCCAGCCTAGTCCGCGGTAGCTTTGGTTTAGGATTACTCGTAGAATATCGCATAACCATCAATGATAAGACGGGAAATCCAACCTGACACCTGAGGGCGGGCTATAGCCTAGAGGGGGTTCAACAGATCAATAATAAACAGAAAATTGCTCTGTGTTGTCCATGATGGGACGTATGCGGATTACAACCGCTCGAGAAACTTAAGCATTGCTAAGTACTTGTCTCATTGCAGTCCCCTCTGAAGATTGAATGAAAAATCGTTACAAGACCAACGTTCCCCCGCACCTTGTGAATCAAAAACGAAGGGAGAGAATTCAACAATAAAAAAATCTTTATTTATTTAAATTGATGCAGGCGTCCGTGTTGAAAATGATAGCGCGCGTGACGTAGCTGAAGACTCCAGAGGAAAACCTACTCAAAAAGTAACGAGTGAGGGCGGTATGTACACTCACTGATTTTGCACTGGAGATCATTTCGTGGAATTTTTGGCAGGAAATTATGATTTGCCTCATGACAGGACAGTAGCCCTTTGGTTCATTATACGCTATTGGATCCATGTGCGCTTTTCTATGGGCTCCGCGCACAAGTACCCCCTCAACGATAACAAAGTGAAAGTTGGCGGAGACTACTCGGAGGGTCAATGGAACGCATTGCCGACGACACCTGAAGCTCATCCGAAGACGCCATGGCTTGTGCACATTCAGAATAAAATAAAATGTGATGCGTACAATGACAAGTACGCGCACGTCGCACGAGATGTGTCTCGTCAATGGCGCTCTCGAATTAGGTTTTTTTTTTCAACCTCGTCCCAGGGCTTACCTTATTTTCAACCTCGTTTCCAATAGTAAGCGACGGGATGGGCAGTTGCTTCCTGTATCCTGATTCGATAGCGCAATTAGAAGATTTATATCGTGAACTTGGTGTTCAAATTTCCTACGTGTATTACGTGTTTTCACGTTCTTTGTTGTTATTACATCCACACCTTCGCAAAAATAATCCTTTTATTTCCAATTTGCTCATATTAATATGAAATGTGATACTGCATATTGGCATGATAAGATTGCAACATTTTAACTTAACAAAAAAACCGCGACAAATTGAAAGGTTTTTTTGTACCCAGACACCTCATACAACAAACAAACGCTGATGTAAAGCACAGTCAGGAACCAGACTGTTCCTCATTGGCTACGACACCCCGGGAACGAGGTTGACAAAGATTTAATAACAAAAAGGCGTTCTTTAAAGAGAAGAAGTGACGTCATTATGTCACAGGTTTTATCAGAAGGGTCGAAGGACAGTGAGTAGGCATTTAGCATGGCTGCATCACCCAGTACGCTATTAGCATTACCTTTGACATAACTGTGACTCCATACCGTTTCAAAAAGGGTGTGGCGTTTAGAAACGTAGTCAATCAAAGATATTAGTTACATTACCAAAAATGCCAGTCCGTCAATAGTGGTCATACTTTATTCAATAAATCAACAGATACTTTAATAATATGCGCAACAGAAGTAAAGTCACAATAGCATTTCGATAATCGTCTTAAGATAGGCTCATTTAGTGTTCAATCATTGAAAATGTGAGTCTATAATATCTAGGCACGCATATGATATGAGGGCGCCCTCATAAACGATCGAAGCGTTATTGTTAAACCCTTACCCTGTTTTATACCAAAAACCACGAGGCGTATGAAACCATGATTTTTTGACGATGACTATTTCAGAGGCATTCGAAAAGCCGAGCCTTAGGCATACGAACACACCAAAGACTTGGTTTACATCTACTTTTTAAATCACGAAAATTCGTTAACAACTACTGAATAGCGCCCTCTATCATCAATTCAAGAAACACTTGTTCAAGCTACTAGCTCGTACCTATACCACCAATCATAGGGCAATGGTGACGAGCTCGTCATTTTGAGGTCTCCCATTAGATATATATATTTTTATCTTAAACTTTGACTCGGATTCAGCACTTTAGCGTGTCTATGGATTTACATGGCTGTGGTGGTTTGCTGCCCATAATGCTCAGTAGCGGATCGGGGAGGGGGAGGGGGGTTGGCGCACCCCCCCCCCCCCCCTGCAGCCGCTGACTAATGTTATGATACTTGTAAAATTTGGCCAAATAATAAACGGATTGAAAATTGACCCCCCGGAAATCTAGATCCTCCCTGACTGCTGCAAAGTTACGTTTCCGCCGCAATATTTTGTAATTATAGTGATTTATAGCCGCCACCATGGGGCAATGGGCATTACATTGGAGAAACTAAAATCACGACTGCACATTGACGCGTGTATTTTGGTGAGGGCAAGGTACATTAAGACACTGCGGTGAGTTCCGTTTTCTGTGCACAGTAATGTCACTTCTCTGAATACAATTACATCAGACTAAAAGCTAAACTATATAAGTCATATTATTATAATTCCTATCTGTAGAAGTCTTCAAAGCCATGTTATAAAGTCAATGTCCAAGACAGTCCAGACACTAGACAATATTATATCAATATATAATGGCTGCCTGATAGCCGTCCTATGACGCATGCGATTTGAAAAGTGATTAGGTTGTTCGATTAATAGGTTTAATGTGCTTAATATCAATATAATGCTGTCATACTACATGGCACATAAGCATTCAAAGATTTACATCACAATTTGACAATAGTCACATTATCTACATAATAAGTCTACACTTATACAGAAATAACTTCGATTTGTTTTCGGCATAAAGTAGCAATAAAAGCGGAGCACGTCGTCCAATACAGTCTTCGTCTTGAAATATCTATTACACATCCATAAAATAACACTGGACATCTGAAGAATTGGTAGTAATGCAAAATCTTTATGTTACCTATAACAGAATAATTCTCAGTAATTTGATAACACGTGACGTCAATGTTTTGCTGTTGTCAACTGGAGTTACTATATTTTTTTCAATGGCGGCGTCCTTCGTCTTCACGTCATGAATGACGATTTGTGACGTCGTTAAGCTTTCTAAAATGCATTGCGTTTATGCTACATGCTAAAAATTTTATATCATATTTTAAACGTGAAGAATAATAATGTGATTGACAGTACATGCAATAAGAGCTTTATAATTTTTTTAAAATTAAATTCAGACATCTTTTCTTTACTTTGTAGAGTCTCATTCAAACGAATTTCTATCGAAAAAGACCAAAATAGTAAATTATATGAAGCCCTTCTATAAACGAGTCAGCTTTCAAATTACCTTACAATGAATTTATAGGCGTAAACAGAATTGATTGTCATTTCTTGTTGGTAAAATTTTTCAACAAAGTCAAGTTGTTCATGAGCAGTCTTTGTCATCACCTGTGATAAAACTTCACACATATTGTAACTCTAAACAACAGTGTTCTTTCATTTCATTTTTCAAAAATAAAATCCCAAATTAAAGTAAAACACATTAGCGTCATAGTCTGCTTGGCCACTCGTCTTGTGATTTCACATTAATAATTTTGACGTTGTAGTCATTTCTGATAGTTTCCAAAAAGTAATTTCATTGCTTAATTCGTTAATTATTTAAGTTGTTATGCTTAAACCATAAAAGTTCAAGTTTCAAATTGATAATTGCAACTGTGTGAGTTTATTGTCTCCGTGAGGAAAAACGTGGGTCCTCTCTCCTTGCTGTTCCCATTGCATCAAGAATTGTTCTATCGGTTCATGCTCAAGACCAGCTCTAAAACCTGAAGATATAAAATAAGAGACATCTTAATTTAAAAAGTCACAGTGTTTTTTTTTTAATTTCCCTATCTTATTAACCTTAATTTCATTAATTAGCTTCAAAGTATTATTTTGTTACTGGTGGTACTTACCTTCATTCTTTTTCTTTAGTTAAATATGACTTTATTGCACTTATATTATCCCACTTTGTATTTAATGAATGAAAGGTTTGCGGAAACACCATGTGGGAATAATTTCTCAAACTAAGAGAATGGTTCTGAAAAGAACTACAGGTATAAACTCTGATTCTTTGTATTGGTTTATTGGAGAAAATATATTTCTACTGAATTGCATGTTTAAAGAAAGGTTGTAAAACAAAATGCACTTATATAAAGAACGCACTTCTACACATCCGCATTTTCCACTGCTTATGGACGCTATTAAGGCAATTGTTTATTTGTTTCTTTCTTCTCTTTTTTCTTTTTCAAGCAAAGGCTAGGGCCCTCTGTCTTTTTGCTTCTTCGGTGTTCAACTGCGTATCTAGTCAAGGAACCATTTTGTGGGCCTTTAATGTCCAGACCAAAGGTGGAATCCAAACTTTGGCTTCAAATAATTCGGTTGATGTAATTATAGCAGAAAATGAACCCATGCATATTGATCCGGAGGCCCCCCCCCCCGTCATGTACCACGTAGTGGTGCAGATGTAATTTTTACTGACAAGAGCGATGTACGCCTATTGTGTAAGGACGTCATTACAGTTGTATTCATTTAACAACGTTTTTGAACATTATAACCATTAGGAAGTAACGTGCGGTGGATAAGGAGGGTTGTGAATCACCTCGAAAACTTGCTCTTGTAGGTCATGAGGCAGGCTGCCGATCACTGCATCCAGATAGCACTCTTTCGTCATCAGTCCTCTCTGAAGGAAAGTAGGTGAAAATAGCCAGTTCGTTACAGGACTTTGTAGCCTAATTACACTGTTTAATGACACCGCGGTAGCTTTTTGTAAGGAGAAAACTTGCACAACGTTTAGCAGACAAGGGCCCGTAATTTGCCAAGAACGATAATGTGCTTAGCAAAAATAAGTTGCCATCCAATCGTGCTTGTGACTTCTCGGCTGGCAGCATTTCTGCTAAATAGCTCCACGGGATTGGGCCATCTCAGCTCTAAGCAGCTCATTACTGCCCGATTCTTGTCCTAAACATCAAATCCAAGATCTTTACGTGTCCAACTTTAAAGCAGATGCATTTTGAACTCGGCTGAGCGATATAGCTAGTAATTTGCAACACTGTTTAAATAATGATTTGTATAACAAAGAAACAACATCATTACGTCATTCAAGTTGTTTGAATCCCTGTCGTCTCTCCATGCATTGTTTTCTGTCCTCTTGCCGACTAAAGACAAAGAAAGAATGACAAAAAAAGCAACCATAAAGTGGTGATGAGTCCTCCAATAAAGTTTAGTAACACAATAATCTAATTGCTTAACAATGCTGAAAGAAAGTGTTATTTTTTTTGTATCACTCCAGCACAAGTTGTTGACTGATGATCGTTACTTTATGTGATAGGCCAATGAATGAATGAAGTATATACATCAGTCTGTAGTCATCACTAAATACCATTCTGTACAGTATGGTAAAATAGAAACGAAACGTTTGAGGCAAGACATAAAGTTTCAATGTTACGCTTTTATATAAAATGTTTGAGGATGTTTATTCACAATCGGATAAAGAAGAATTAAGAGAAATCGCAAACTTTCTGGACGTTTGCTCAATTGTCACATTTGTGACCAAATAACCAAAAGTAGCTTTTAGTGGAAATCGGTAGGTGAACTAGTTTGAGATATTGCTCATCCATCCAAGAAGATGTACCGCGCCTACTCTATAGTGGCTTTCTTCTCCACGGGAGTAATAACATCGTCAGAGTCCTGGCCTCGGATATCCAACCTGATGCGCGCCCTGTCCAACTTGAAAGCTCACTAATTAAATGATTGAAAGTACATGGTAGAGGCATTGAGTCAGCCACCCTAAACGCTTGTAATTTGTGATTCGATTCCCATTTCCGGGCCGCACTGCATTACCAGAAAACCATAATGATAGAACCGAGTGATGCCTGTTTTCTTCTTTACAAATCACACTGCTAATGTTAAGTGATGAAGACTTTCCGCACGCTATATGCGTACTGGCGGCAGCATGACGAAGTAGGCTTGGCTCTTTAGATTTTTTAAAGTGTAAATTGGGTTCACTAGGGGGAAAAGACATTATACATTTACTGGCCATGTACTGAGAAGATAAGATTTGATGCGGAAAGTTAGATGTTCGTATGGCTTATGTCAATGTATTGGAGTCAAATACGAGTCATTTGAACGAAAAACCACGGTTCCTTTTAATAAATAGTTTACTTTTTAGTATGAAATGTTACCATCAAAATTTACGATCCACTGATTGCAAATTTATCTTCGGCAAGTTTTGACGAGAAATGAAAAGGTCGAGGTTGTTTTACCAACACTCTAAAGTCAACGCTACAAACCAAAGTGATTGAACAAGATAAGTGTAGCTAACTAGTTACCAATAGTTAACTCAAGCTCTCGAGCTCTGAATTGAAATGTGGTTGCATCTAGAGGAGATCGCTGATGGTTTTAGCTTTCTAATTTGTACAACCATGATCTCAAATGCTCGGGCAAGTTTGATTTTTTCTATTCACATGACTACATTTTCAAAAAGTGTACATCCAGCGTACGCACACCTATATTTTGTATATTAAAATTAGATCTGGGTCTTTAAAGAAAAGTTAGTTTTAGGCATTAATAGGCCTACAGATGGAATAAGGCAGGCCTGCACTATTTATGCAGAGGGAAACGCAGAGGTCGCGATCCGATCGATAACTTCATGCTTATTAAACAGCTGATGTGATTGGCTATTGCTTCATCAAGTTCATGGACGCACTTCAAACAGTGTGATTGGTTTATGATGCCTCATTTCATTTGTCCTTGGCCAATCAGATAATCATTCCATTCGCTTCTATTCTCCCGTCTACTTTAAAACACCCGACAAGAAATGTCAAATGTCATGTGGGGGGTCATTTCCTATAAACATGACAGCGAGGCAGCTTTTTGTTGGTGAGATGATGCGTGTTACTACTATAGAGCCTGAAAGTTGACCCCTGGTGGCGTGCTTCCAGAATTTCTCGAATGGGAAAGTAGCGGAAAAAAGTGGGAGTTTTAAAAACAGTTTTAGTACATTGATTTCTTATGAAAATCACCCTGGGAAAAGGCCTTTGTAAAATTGTTACTTGCATCTCAATCCATGGAAACTGAAAAATCGCATGACGTGAAAGAGAAATATCGTGCCAAAAACTGACCTCCAACTTCTAAAATACATGTGGACTATTGGAACTCGGTGCACTTGTACAGAGATGAAATTTTTTAGTCATTGGGTAAAAACTGAAACTTAAATAGGAGACTAACATGTCTTTTGGGACACACTTTTTTTTTAATAACATTGAAGGACTAATTGACATTTGCAAACAAATCTAAAATGACCGTTGATAAGAACTGTATTCAAGCAAGCCTGACTAAATCTAGAGTCCATCGGATGTACGTACGTACATCTTCGTGTCGTTATCATTTTCGTTCTTACGCAAGTACGCGATATGAAAACAAACGTAAACGAACAAAGAGACCTATAGGTACGAAAATCCGGATTTGAAAGGTTGTAAGAAAATTCGTTTTTACCCATCTCCAACTGATTTCTCATCATTTTTTCTTGTGGAATGCCGAGATAAAATTCCAACATGAATGTTTCTTAGGGTGATTACGGTTAGAAATAATTCTGTCAAAAATTATAGCAAGAGAAAGAGCAACCCCGTGTAAAATGCCCATAGAAGGGTCGCGGAGGGGTCCGGAAGCTCAAAGACAGAATGGCGTACTTTCGGGCTTTATTCTTGTGTTTCTGTCTTTGTTTTTGTATTTTGTTATTTTGTCGTTCTTGTGTATATAACACTTCAGACTTCGAAGAAAGTCGCAAGTTCTTGTTGCAGTTGTGAAGGGAAACTAAGATACCAAAAACACAATTTACAATCTCGCATTGCAGTTTTTTTCGGAGAAGGTTGCTTCCTATATACCTTATTGGAAAATTCAATGTGTTGACAACATTTAAGTCGTGGTAATTCACGCAGCAGATAACGTAGGTGCATCAATGATAAAATACACAGAAGGGAGTAAAAAACGTGTGGTCACCGAGAACACAGTGAGTTTTATTCCTTAATGGAAATCTTGGTGTTTATCTGCATATTGTTGACCCGTTTGGCCTCCCATCCAGCGTCTTGGAGTCCCTACCCATCCGGTTTTGGATCTCTTCAGACCTCGGCACGAGGGAGTCCTTGGGATGGTGCTATCGAAGAAAAACACGGTACCACAAGTCTGCGGTTACGGTACACTCACGTCAGTAAAATCCAGGAATTTCCTAAACGCAATCATTTAAATACTGAAGAAATATAACGGCTAATGCAAACCACAATGACGAAAAATAATGACGCAACTTGGCGTTTATGACGGACTTTGCTTAAAAGACAAATATAAAGCAGGCGCCCGAAGTTCGTGTCTATTAAGAACAGTTTCATCTCAAGGCATTGTGAGGATTCTGCTACAGTAAAGTTGTCTTAATGCTAGTTTGTCCGAATCCTATCGTTTTCCTTAGTTTGGCAGTGTCATCGGTTAGGCTTCTTTCAAACAACCTGTCTTGAAGTTGAATGCAATCGACCGTTTAAATATAGTGATATTATTAAACATCCTGACAACACATGAAGAGACTAATGTCATATTAATAGAGATTAATGTGTCATGATCAATGACCAGAATAATTATGTGCATGCAGCTTAAATTTGTTATAAGTTTTTTAAACAATATTCCACTCAACGTTTCACATCATTACATTTCCCTGTGATATGAAGATTGTCGTATTGTCCATCAGAATTCACTTTCAATAATGCATTTTCTCATTACATAAATTGTATATAATAAAGAATTTTACAATTTTACAACATAAAAGATAAATGTGATCACGAACAAAATGGTCGCAACTATACACGCGTTGGATAGGAATACGTGCAAGAGGACCAAAAAAGAGAAAAAAGATGGCCCCACCTGATGAATTGCAATTGAGTCATTTTGCTTTAATCACCTTCATAAATCAGTAAGGCTTTCAAGCACTTTGGTTCCTACCCATAAAACCGACCATCCTCGATACTCGCGCTCGTGTTCTTTATTATCTGGTCAGACAGTTATACAGAGGCCAAGCGATTCATTCATTACGAACGGACTCACTCAGGGGAACTACAGGATTCCTACGTGGCTTTGCAAATCATGCGATTGGCCTATATAATAATATACCTAACAAAGTTTGGCCGCAACTTGAGCCGTGTTTGTCTCGGTTTGCGATGCTGGCTTCTGGCGAAACGACTGTTGTTTGTGGGCCCTCTTGTAGCCGCTTATTATCTGCACTAAGTGGCAAGTTGTTGGCAGCGCGTCGCAGTTGATTCTCTTACTGCTAGAAAGGCCTGTCGATTAACTGCATCCTACAAGACAGTAATTTGTCAAAGAGGTCTGCTCAATGTATAATGCGTCCTTGGAATATCCTTGGCACCATATGAATCCTGCGTTAATATATGACAAATGGAATTATCGCAAGTTCAATTTCAAATCAGATAAATATTGTTCGTTTATCTCTAGTGAAATCATCTCAAAATGAAAGGATTGGGAAATTTTACTCTGACTGTTCACCCAATATAATTATTCTCACAGTTTAAACATAGGCCTACTGGTCCACGGATTTCCTTTTCCTTGGTGTACTAGTCTGGCCACAGTTCACCTATCGCAATACAATTGACTAATCCAGCAAGTCTTTCTTAGACAAGCAGAAGAATCTGATGTCAGAGATATAATGCCTCAGCAGCCTCTCACTAAGTCGAAAGCTAATCCTAAAGTACAAGTACCCAACTTGGTGTAACGAAGTCTTTAATTTGTCTCTCAGAAATCAGCCAGAGATTAAGTCCTATACAAATGGCCGTGAAGTGAAGGCTAGCTTGACTCATGGATGAATGGAGTCCCCTTGCCAGAAGGTTCGAGTCGCAAGGATATTTAGGAAAGGTTGACGTGAAACAACTAACTTTATTTACCTATATGTGCATGCATCCAATAATACGATTCCACAGCCTCTACACCCTATCACTCTGACTATACATGCGCTTGGTCGCTTACTAGACTTAACCAGGCATATTTTCGCTGATGGGTAGACATTTCTGCGGAAACCAAGCTATCCTTGATATAACTTTGGTAAGTAAATGAACTGACAGTCGTGTACAAAGACACAAATCATGTACTTTCGGTGCAGGGACGTGCAGAAAACCGATTATTCTAACATAAGAGGGAGAATTTCGGATGACTTGCATGGTAACCGGTGTCTTATGAAATCCGGACTCAGTCATTATACAGACCAAAACGTGACATTTTGTGCTTTTGATGTTTCTGTGTACTGAACGTGCGCAGTGTGGTAAAGGATTGCGTTTTAAATTGGGTCCAGACTTCAAGACATACCATTATACACCAATCGGCTTAATAATAAACCTTTGGAAGGAAACTGTCGTGCTTAAGAAGGGCTTGAAATCCCTGCTGAACGACATCAACCTTGAAATCCACTTCCAAATAAAATAGCCGACATATCCCAGACGGAAGTATTTTTATTTATTGCCGACGTCTCTTCCAAAAAAAAAATTCATATGTGTACAGCACAATACCTTAAGATGTCTTCAATCCAATGAAAAATAGTTCAGATCAACAGGCTTTGAAGGAGTAAGTGCTGTTTACTCGATACGCATTATGTCTTGAAGTGGAAAACCCCATCACAAATGAAATCGACCATACGGAAAACCGTGCGTGTAAAAAGGCTTTTTATTCTGATCCCCCAAGGCAGAGCTGAGATTTTGTTCCAACGGTTAAGTTTGGTAGAGTGATTTCTCTCACTTCGGGCTTTTATACGCATTTAGGTCGTGTATAGTGCTGCTTATTCGTCGCAGCCGCAGTTTTTTCCCAGTCTCTGTTTTGCAGTAAGCATGAAAGGGGATAAATCGTGGATATGACGCGTGTGAATAAATCCATTTTGTACCTCTTTCAAAATGTCTGTTTGAATTTTGTAAGATTTACTGGAAACTGAATCTAAAAAAAAAATGTCTACTCACCTCTTCGGTTGCAAACCCTACAAATGGGCGTGCTGACGTCTACACATTCGACATTTGAACACGAAATTCCTGAAAATTAAAAAGATGATTATTTATCAATTTATGTGCTGCATGTAACGAGACAAATGTACTTGAACTTGTGGACCAATAAATGAATATTGAAATTGAAATTGAAAACAAAAAATCAGTACCTAATAAATATCTCAGTTAAAATACTTAAAAATATTAATGGAACCAGGGTACCTCAAAAGGGCACTGTAATTTGCCAAGCCCTAAAAAAGATGGAAAGAAAAACGACGAAGAATCGTTCAGGTTTTTAGAGGAAGTTGGGAGGGGGCAGCCCGCCGCAATTATATGCCAGGGGATTCATTTTTGGACTAGACACCAAAACTGCATTCTGACCTGGGAAGGTGGGGGGGGGGGGGGTATTCGAAACCAAGATCGTAGAAATGAGAGACCGGGAACTTAAGCTGAGTCAACAAAAAGGGATAATTTGGAGTTACATTTTGGATCACTTCTTATTTGCTATAATGCCGTCTTTTCTTATTTCGTTCATGGAAAATTTAAGGGAGACCGAGTCAATTTATAGGGAAGTTTCCATAGATATCGAAAACAATGGGTCCAAATAAGCAACCTCGTATTCATGATTATTTCCTTTGAAATAAACGAAAATCAAATAAAAACGATCAATTCCTCTCTAACAGTCTTCGTTGCTATGCATTAATGCAGAGGCGTCAGCTCATGGCCACAAAAGTGACAAATTGGAAAATGATTTGTGAAAACCGCCACTTTGCAGATATTCAGAGGTAAATAACTGCTGCATTACGGGGCTTATTGGGGCATATTACCGGGCTTATTGGATTATTGTTTTCAAAACTCACGCTATTTTTGAATTTTTTTTTCTTCAATTTTGTAGCAGTTTTTCTGATACCAGTACCATAGAGTGTAAACCTTTTATTAATGCCATTGCTAATACCATGCACTTTTTCAGTACTAAAAGCTTCTTTCCAGTCGACAAAGTAAAATCGACCTTGAATCTTAAAAGCTAATTGTTGATATTGCTGTGCTACCTTTAATGTTCCTCTATATAGTCATTTCACGCTAAAGCGTATTTTCCTCATTAAATGCCTTAACATCTATTGTGCTATGAATGGATGGTATCGACATTGGCTCGGTACTCACGGGCATAGAGTCATGATGGATCGAAATTAATTTTGGCACAGTAGATCGAACCAAGGTTGTCTTGCTTGGAATAACGGCGGAGTCAGGAATAATGGCAGTTAGGGAATAAGTTGGGTATCCTTATGACGTTAATGCACTCTCCAATTTCCATTTTTATTTTCACTTTGGGGGCTATAGTTCTTGATTATCTGGTTCTTTTCTCGCAGTTTGCGCCTCCCTTCTTCCACATAATGTGTCCATCTGTCTCAAGCCTTTTTTATCATCGACAAACACATTTTTATTTTAAACACCAGCATCAAAATTTGTGTAAATTGTCTTAAGGTAAAAAATTTAACCGGAAAGTCAGCATTACATTATAACTATCCATATACATGAAACATTATCTTGGACTTAGAGTTACACCAAGTGACATGTTATGCTGAAAAACAGGATCAATTTCCTCGATGCAATCAAATCAATGCGGAATTTCCAAAAATTGACATTAACAACAAATGATGAAAGAATAGAGGGCATTTTCGGGTAACACCATGTGGAAAGAAATATCTTCTTGGAAGAAGTGTGGTTCTGAAAAGTCATAAAAACAGAAGTACGTTTGCATGCCTCAAGGAAAACTGAAATTGGAGCAATATCTGGCAGACCAAATACTTATATATGACATACGAGAATATGCCCTCCTCTTTAAAACGCGATTAAGTTGCATTTGAATTTCACGATGACATCTCAAATTCAGCAAGTGATGGACACTGAGTGTCCTCTCTGCCAATCACAACAATTCAATTAAAGAAGCCGCCGACTATACAGCGAGCCGCTGGTGTGTGGTGTTTGCACGGTACATCAGGGTTAAATATACCCGCCAGGAGTGTCCGACGGCTCTACGAAAACATTCTAATTGGTTTTGCAGCTTTGATTTGGATTTCCCGTTTTCGTCTCGTTTTAATTTCCGCAACTCGAAGAGGTAAGAGTAATTGATGGAGTTACAACTTTGTATTTAAAGGTACCTTCCTTGGGGAAAACATCTTAAGGCGTTCCTTTTTACCCTTTTTACCAAGGTTCATGTTACGAATCGACATGCTCAATGAATAACTTAAATCCTTATACCATCACTAATATTCACTTGATACGACACATTTACATGAAAATGAACAACTTTGTATCATTGCATACGAGCATCATTAAAAGCAAAAGGTTTGCTCGACAAATAAGGAAATATTAACCCAAGGAACGAGACTGCCTGGACTTTATTTCCTTTGAAAAGTCGTTTACACAAAATTAAAATGCTAATAAGTCTTCAAATTTATTTCAATATGTTTTTTTCTACGTAATTTTTTTTTGGTTTTTACTATAGAAAGCTTTTATAAATTTACGGAAAGGCTTTTGGATGATAAAGTTGATTGTCAAACAAAATGATATGATCACATCCGACATTTTCTGTAACCCAATTTGATGTAAGCCTACTCTGAAGTTATTTTATTTTAATGGTATAAAGGCAACTAAAGATTATTTCTTTTCAAATGGCAGAAAATCGTTTGTTATCCGTTAGTCCAAAGAGCCACCGCGGTAAATCTAAGCACACTTCAAAAATAGCGATGCTATCCACATAAGACCAGCAGTATAACATTTAATACGCCACTGGTTCTTATAGGGATACCGCCGGTGTTAAAATTTAGACATCACATTTAGCGAAGTGTTGTCTTAAAAATCTAATCGATTTGACTATAGAAACGGTCTAAGTAAGCCAGAGTGTAAGTAAAAATTAGTCAAAATAATAATTCACTCTCCGTGATTATTGAGATAAAAAGTTTGCGCCTGAAGGAATTTAAGTCTTAATCTAATCGAAATCTAAAACGATCGCCATGAGTTTTCTAAAACTAATACATGTATGACATTCCATCAGCTCTCAAGAAACCAGTCAGTATTTTGACTACGGTTTGAAAAGTGGTGTGCACAAATCAAGAATGCTTATGTGATCTCATGGGGCCAGTGGGCAAGCAAAATTGCATTTTGAACGGATAGGAAAAGTGACATCCTTACCATTTACTGTCGATGTGTTTAGGACGAGGGCCGCTGCCAAAACCACCAGCACAATCATCTTGAGAGAAGGCCACCTCATTGTCATACAGCCCATGACTACCAAACACTTGGCACTTGCAATCCCTCTGAACCAACCGATCCGTCTGCAAACACCAACAATTGGCTGTGTTTTGTTTTGGTTGTTTGGTGACGTTCAAAAACGCAAATTGCTCTATTTCAACACTGAGCTCAGATCGTAATGAGCACTGTTGCGTCTAACGGCCGTTTATGTACTGAGCGCAATCGGAAGGCGTGAATTTTATTTGTACCCTTTTTGGGGTATTAACAACCATACGCATGCGCAAACGCATTTCTATCAGCCATTTTATAGTTCCAATTACGACATATTGCTTGCGGAAACGATTTGAAAGAGAAGGGATCAAACCTGCTTGTTGAAGTTAGCATACCTGGAGACTTATTACCCGACAGTAATCACGTGATTGAATTTAAAAAAAACCCAAGAGAGATCGTTGGTGTCCAGTTCAACCTGATTAAGCTTATTGCCGCATGCCCTCGGACAACACCGAGTGTTCAGTGTTAATGAACTTGTGTCGGTGATGCAAATCAAAATTTGATTTAATCTCGTGTTGCACATGTATATACCTTCGACCACGTGGTAAGCGTTTAGGCATGCGCGTTTCGCTTGTAACTGAACAAGGATGCAGGAAAAAAAATCGGTTTGCCTGACCACATGCAGATCTCTTTAAGTTCATCCATTAATCTTCGGTTTCGTTCATTGTGGTGACGCGAAATAATGAAGACTGAATTTGATTTCAAAGAATATGTCAGCGGTAAGCTCTATACGTGATCAGTTTTTGGATTCTTTGGGCCGTTTTACGCAGGCATAGATATATGAACAATGATAGGAGAATATGCAACAGGTGCCTGATAACTGAACTCATGTAACATCATAACAAGTGGTGTAAGTATAGGGCCACGGGGGACGAGTCTTCCAGTGGACACCCCTCCCCCATGCACCCATTTAAAATCTTGAGTTTTACAAAACAAATGATGTGAAATATTGAAATGATACGTTTCATTGTCTGAAAGAGTCTCCGTGAAAAATTAAAGCACCCGGTCCCCCGCCAGATGTTTGCTTCTAGTTAGGCAGCTGCAGATATAAGTCAACTAACATGTACTTATTCTGTATATGCGTGCATAGCAACTTCACTTGTGAAGTACATGTTAAACTGGTTTTGGGTATGGCCATCGCAATGCTTAGGACCAGCAATGCATTTTATTTTAGGTAAACTAGTTTTAAAGGTGTATGCACACGTACCACATTAACTTTCCCTGGGAAAATGAAATTTGATCATATTTTCTGCCTATATGCCTTAATCTGTTAGTTCAACAACAACTATGTATTATACAAGTTGAAACGATTGAATTCCATTTACAGTTCGAATGTCCCGTGCCTACGTGCAAATGCAGCCGGGTTTTTGGTATGTTTGATTGGTTTCACGTAGCCTTTTATATCCGGATTTTTTTCTCGAGCCAAAAACAGTTAAGTATGTAAGAGGATATACGAAAACCATATCAACGTTCAGGCTTGCTTATACTGCAGTCGATCTAACTCTTTTGACAGCCGTGAAATTAGGTAACCTTTCAGAGAAGATAATGGTAACAACTGGTGCAATTCGGGCGTGGTGAACCTGAAAAAAAGGGTAAGCCCCGATTTGGGCAGTGAAATGATTATTTTAGGAAAAAATGCCATCGTATGCCTAATCCAGTCACGGCATTCACAACCAGACTGTGAGTCTAGCAAACGAGTGGATGCCAGGAGAGTAGCTGACGTTCGTACGTCATCCAGATAATTTGCATAATAGAAGAAGGATTTGGGTTGAAAACGGAACTTTAGATTGGGTAAAACGTTGGGTAATGTGCTGTTTTTAGTATTCCAATCAAGGGCGTGTACAGGACCGTACTTTATTTTCCACTCACACCGCAGGGCCGTAGCCAGCCTGGTGGAGGGGGAGGGTAGTTTTTGCTGACACTTTTTTTTAGGGGGGGGGGGTCATTCGACCCGCGACCCCCCCCCCCGGCTACGGTCCTGCAACGTTGGCAGTGATTCATTTAGTTTTCCATGATGATGTACTGTGATAACGGTTCCCATGATTTCTCAAAAGTGTTGTTTTAATCGTATTTGGGAAAATAGAGGAAATGGCTTGTCAACTTGAGCCGGAAAATCATTAAAATTAAGAAGACATCTTTATCTCCACTGAATTTCACGGGCTAAAGGGAATTTTGGTCCACTTTACGATATTTTGCGCTACTTTCCATGATTTTTAATACTTAATTTATTATTATTTTTAAATGTTTTGTATGATGAATAAAAGGCAGATCACCATTTCAGTGACGAAAGGGAAACTTTGTTTCCTTTTTTTTCGTTTTTTAAAATATTTTGTAACATGGTGAAAATGAATGACGCCTTCATGCTCTTGAAATGGTTTACTCGTATATATGAGGAGTTGGAAAAGACTCCCAACACTAACAGTCAATTTTTTTGTAGACACTGAGTCCGAGGCCCAAAGTGGCTAAGCAATCGTCATTTGATATCCAGACCGTAGTACTCAATCCTCTGCAGAGAGAAAACCTCATTTTACGGCCGACCCGTCTCCCTGCGGGTCCGCTTTAATGGAACACTCACCCTCCCAAAACGACCCTTCACTTTTGGGGGTTGCAGGGAAGCAACGCTATGCCATAATAACGTGATTTGTCCATGCATACTTAAAACATATATTTGTGTTTTTTGCAGCTATCATGGGAATGTTTTGGGATAGAATGTTCTCAAAATTCTGATTTATTTTAAAAGAAACAGACCTCACCAACATTTTGTAGGAAAACATGAGGCAAAAGGCAATTAAAGGGAACAGAAGTCTTTCTTACCACCAATTTAAAAAAGGTCCTTTTGATAACATACTTTTAATTCGAAAATCCGAATAAAAAGAATGATTATAAGGTTAAGACAATATTAAACAAATTGGAATTCACAATGCCAAGATTTGATGAAAACGTACCGAGAACATGCGAGCCTCACTTACAAGAGGCATTGCCAATCTTGTTTCATCATTTTTATTTCAGTACGGTGCAAGAACGAACCGGTCGTTAATGTTGATGTATTAATATGACGAGCACATTCGAGGTAATAAACATTCACTTTGCAGGTTATTTGTCAAATGTACGTCAAAAACAACGTAGATGTCGGAAAAAAAGTGTGATTGAACAAAGATCAAATGCTTTTATCGACGTCATGGACTTCTGTGGTGAGCAAACAGCGGCAAGTTGAATGGCCAGACAGTTCCGCCAATTTCGTAGATCATGTGACATGGATTATCTTTGTTAATCTTTGATAAAAGCTCAACTTTGTTTTAAAAAGCCATCGTTATGAAGTTTCCGTGTTTTTTGATGGCCGTAAGAAATAATGTTTATTATCAAATAAACATATTGCCAAAAAAAAAAAATGAACGAGCAATGTACATTATATCAAAACTAAATCCAATGGAATAATTTCACAACAGTGCGCTATGTTAAATTACATATTTTCAAGCACTAAAATTTTTTTGTCAGAGTATTTTGCAGGTTTGGTGAGAAATATACTCAGTGCCGTGTAGGCTACTCGCAGTGTCAGTATAAACCTTTGGCTATGAGTGACGAACCACCTTCCATAATCAATGACATTTTGATACCTTCAAATTACGTCTTCCCCACTCAAAATAAAATCATTTCCAATCAAATAGGCTTCGGCTGAATAACTGTCATAGCCAGCAATGTTTTGCAACTCTGTATGAAATCGATGTGAATTTGAAAAACAGGATTGTAGACGCCAACTAGAGAAATATGCTGAATCGAAAGCACATATCAAGTAGCAGGAAGATGATTAAGTTATCCATTTGGGGAAAGAAAACTGTGCAGTGTATAAACGACATCATCACAATCTTGAACACGTACGTCTTATACCAACTTTGTTTTCTGAGAAAGAGAGGCAGTGTCGATACTAAGGACGCAAGTAGTGCACGTATGAGTGAATCTGCATGTCGATTTGTTTTCTCTGTTTTGTTGGATCATTCATCTTCACCCATCACACACTGCTTATTTTCAATGTTGCCGTGCGTTGAGGAAACCAGTGCGCCGATAACTGCTTAATCCTCCCCGCCTAAAACAGGTCTTTGACGCAATATTTAAAGGTCAGGCCTAAGCAAATTCTGTTCCCATGCACAAAGCGCTATAGCGAAGCCAATATTGCGTATGTAAGACGTCAAACGAGAAGCGTTTACAGTCGTCTTCACCGCTGCTTGTTTTAATCTTTCACTTTGGGATCATTTATTTCTCTAACGAATTACCCTGACTTTTCCTAGTCAGCTTGAGCAGTAATTATCGTTAGTATTGGTGGCTTCCTTACCACGCGTCGCAACTAATTAATGATCAGTGCTCGGCTTCTTGCTCCCGATCGGTTACAGACTTGTATACTTTCCCTTGTCAGGCACACTGAAAAGACAAACTGCATTCATTATATGATAGTTTCCTTTCAAAAGAATTAGGTACTCCCACGATGTCTTGTACATGTTCATAAAATAATAATCTTGCTCTTATTACACCTTTCCCCCGTGATCCAAGTAAAATTCAAGCTTACCCTATAATAAATAGCTTGAAATGACAAAGAAATAACTATATCTCACACATCTTGGCATGAGAGCATTACTCTATGAGACATTGTCAGTGCACTTATGCATTATTATAACTATTACTAAAAAAATACTGCACTGCGAATGTCACTTCTCGTGCTGTTATGGTTTCTTTCACAATAGTTTCCTTTTACATTCATGTCTGGTGTCGATTTAAGCACAATACTGGGACCATTAGATATAGTACGCTAAGGGACAGATATGCGGCTTGGAAAAAAGTTGCTTGTTAATTCACCATTTTGCGTGGTAATTTCATCTGGCACAGGACTGGTAATGCAACACGTAACGGGGGATTATAACTGACAAACGAATGTATTTGTCACTGTTCACTTCAAACGTATGCCATGGGACTTAAGACTGAACAGCTACAGGATTAGCGAGTGCAGTGGTCATCATGGAAACTGAAAATCGTACAATTTTAATCATCTCCGCTAACTTAGTGTATTACAATAGATCATTGCTTTTTGCTGCATGGTCCCAGAGGCCAAACCAAGCCTATATAGTTTCCTCTTTCTACCTGACTGACTGACTCACTGACCTACTCTCATTTGTAAGCTGGGAAGTACTATCGTATAGGATTACGCCGTAACGCCAAATGGATGAGCTAATTGATGGCAGTGCTATCCTATATCACGCCGTAACGCCAATGGGTCAGCTAATGGATCAGCTTCAATTTATGGGCAGACCAGAACGGACTTCCAGTGACTAGCTGTGACCAGTTTTGACTAGCTTGATCTCTCGTTTTTAATTTGCGGTTATTTTTTTATGTCTTGGAGTCGTATGATAGGGAGATGCGTTTGAGGTTGGAATAAGGTCATCATCCCAATTCCGAGCAACCGTTGCTAAGGAGGCGCACCCACACAGTCTCTCCTTCGTAAAAAAAACCCACTAAGTTTCTCGGTTTGGTCTCTGTGGTAAATGTCATCTCCATTTTCTGAACTATTCACGTTTTGCAAGTGAATCACGTCAATCTTCAAGTGAATATCTTCAAGGGGAATTAAGGTCAAGGCTAAAAGTGCTAGATGATAAATAATGGCCTACACGACTTTAAGCTACAAGTAGGAAATTCCCAGAAATGGTCATGATCCAAAAGGAAAATAACTTAGCAAAAAGTAACAATCATATAATTATTAGAAATCACATTAAAAAATTGCATAATTTCTCAGTGATGGCAGGAAGAAGGTAATGGACGAAACAATAAATAAAAAAAAGATGTGGCGACGCAGAAAGGCTGTGGTGAAATTAATGCCAATTATTTCAATGTATTCGAGGGAAAAGAAGGCCAGAGAAAATTTAATGGGCTTTTTCTGCCGCTTTTTTTTTTTACTAAAAGCAGTGATTAGTAATTCATGCAATTCATTTGTGCAAAACCCTTTTCCTGGATTTTAACTGAGAGAACCATTTATTATCATCATCGGTGACGCTAATTCAGTTTGGGTGTCGGCGTTTGAAGGGCGTCGGAAGAGATAGTCACCCGAGTTCGTCATTGAAACTTGAACGGTTTCTACCGCCCATTCGATTTTTATATTTTTCATCGTTATAATGCACGTCTATTTACCGTACGGAATAGTACCCCAAAAGTACCTCAGAAAGTATTGATTCACTTTTTTCCCATCTAAGCTGGCACAATAGAAACCCAAGGACTCCTATTATAGTCATTACTGCCACTTGAGCGGAGTCGTGGAAATCGTGCTGATCATCACTGCGTTTAAAATGTTATCGCAATTTTTAAAAAGTCCTCGCCCGGGGCTGCACGAGTACTAGAAATGGGCTAAAACTGGTTTTTGAAACTGGCAATTGCTGGTTTTTTTCTGAAGCTGCAAGACACGTACGTACCCCATGCTTGCGTCTGTATATTGCTGTAATATCGCCATTTTAAGACCATAATAATACTCATCGATTTGGTGACGATGTTTATGTGGGACTCCGTGTGCTTTAGGGCGTCGAACACACAGTGCGCACAATGGATCGCGCATTTGAAACGAAGATGTACGACATTTCATTAACGATGCATAAAGACGGAGTCGAGAAAAACAGTTAAGCAAACAACCCGACTGTCAGACAGACAAACAACAACAAATCAACAAACAACCAAAAAAAACAAAACCAGGAGAATAGACAGATCACAAATTTGCATTTCCAACCGAAGACGGGACCTGTTCATGGACTTCTGTGATTATTAGAATAATTGACCATTAGCGTATGCAGTTTTTATGTCTGATGAATCACACAATGCACTTATCAGCGACAATCCATCTTCATTTGCAATTCTGCAGTATAACTGCCGGACTAAATACTTCCGGGAACGCACAAAGATTAGGCCTACCATACGCCATTACCTGTTGATTAAAAACTACAGAGTTGGTCTACAAATAAAAACAAAACCGCTAGAAAAATGGAACAGCAAAAACAGTAGCAACAGCGGTACTCGAGTAAAAGCTTTAACAGCCTAAATGCACGCAAAAGTAACATTAGCACAAACAGAGAAAGACAGAAGAACAGCAATGGAAGAATGTCCAATGAGCAGCCAGCCGAGGTTCTGGCTGCTTATAGTCATCATGTATGACATGGCATGGGACCTTTTTTTAAATCAATGTAATATAGTTTAAACGATAATTTGAAATATCGTCTATAGCAGTTGCAAAGGGCAATTAGCATTCACAACATTAGTGGCTAGTTACCATGCCAACTTGCTGCAGTTCCAGCAGCTGCAACAGCAGCAGTATACATGCCAGGCAAGTTCTTTTGTTAGCACTGTCCAATGGTTTTTCCAGTCACGTGGGCAAAAAAATATGTTATCAACATTAATTGACTTTTAATGGATGTGGTGCCAGCACATGAGTGGGTCAGGAAAGGGATTTCAAATCAATTACGTGTTTTGGAGTTGGTGTACCTCACTATTAATTTGTTGTGACGTAAAAGACCTCCGTGCAAATAGTTATGAAGCTGACAAACGGGCCCAGAATCAAGAATGATGAATGAATCAAAAAGGCTTATAGGAAGTCGGAAAATAGCAGCAATCGCTCTGTCATAAACACACCCACATAATGAAAGACTTGTTTTAATTGAGGGTGCAACTCTAGAGACCTGGACTCGCAGAATTGCCGCAAAAAGGTGGGCAAGGGGCAAGCACAATTGGCGGAGAAGCTGGAAGATTTTTTTTTTTTTTAAGTCAGTGCCATGATTCTGGACGGTCTCAGGGTCCGGGGTGGGTTTGCTGCGGTGTTGGAGTCAAGGAGGAAGGAGTTAGTTGATGAGGTTTTGAGGTTTTGAAGCATGTGGCTCTAGTTCGGGAAAGCATCCCCCGCAGTAAAATTATGGTAATAATTCACATCGTTCATACGCAAGAGGCCACGCGTATGCCATACCCTACCTCTGAAATCAACCCTAATGGTATCTATTTGTATGTACCTCTTACCGGCATGCATAAAGAGTGGGTCTACAAGCGTCCTCTATTGAAGGCAGATATTAACTTATTATTTTATTAGTGGAATGGGCAGTACATCTTGAGAATTTTTAAAAACTACAGTTCTCTACACAAAACCGTCATATTGAAGCAAATACGAGGCTACAAGTGTGAAACCAAGACTCTTTCGTATCATTGTTGTGTATGTTTCTCACATTACTAAGAAACGACTCACTGCAGCCTCTTTCAACCAAACCAGACAAATTCAAAGGGTTGTTTTGAATTTTCTGCAGGCTGGGCCGGGCAAGCTCACGGGGGATCAGAAAGGAGCCTTGTTCTTATCAATTGTAGGCCCACTCCGTTTTCTTCCCCGTTACATGAGCCAATGACTCGAGAAAGGAAGCCCTTGTCAATAAGGTAGTTGGCCTTCTCAAGAGCGTGTATTTCATCAGTATCTGACCGAAGCCAGACGGCTCTTTAACCCTACGGCTGAGAGCCGTCTCTTGCAATATCCTGTAACTACCAACGCGGCACTGCAATGGTTTCTCAAACAAACCATGTACATGTACAATAATGCTGCCGTTCTTGCAATTTCAACCTGGCCCGTGAACTTATAAGGTGGGCCAAAAAAAAACATGCATTACCGTCGGAAAACAGTGTTCATTTTGTGAGTTTAACTAGTACAGTGCTCGGAGGCAACAGCGGCGATTTCTTGTCAACATTAGGGGCACGGTGGACCAGGAGCTTGGGAAATTCGAAAAGTACGGGGCGGGGGCTGGGGTGGACACAATCTGACTATAGAGGGCGCCTTTTAAAGCTGTATGCACATAATTACATGCTGCACTGTACCAGTGTCACGTACGGCTGGTGGCAAGTGTCGAAGACAGCTTTCAATTTTCATCACCGTACTTTTTTACCGCTCGGTACCTTTACGTGAGACGTGGTTTCGGTTTGTTAATGACTTTCTCAATTTATTATTCATTTCAGCAACATATCTCTTCTTATACCAGTACATTAAATACACGTGAATTTCATTTTTATTCTTCAAGGCTCGGTGTATAAGCCGCCCTGTGTATAAGCCGCAGTAAACATTTTCATGGGCAAAATAAACGTTTAAGCCGCGGCTTATATTCCGAAAATTACGGTACACGAATACACATTTACGTCCCCGCTCGAAAATTATTGGGCGGGGGGCGCAATCCCGGGATCCCTGTCCATGCTCGGAGGATATGTGAGAGAGGAAGACATGAACAATGTAATGCTACATCACAATGATAAATACGACAACATCCGAGTAAAGGGTGCTCACGGCAACACAATTTCAATACAAAATGCAAATGTTTTTTGCAAAAGTATTTAATTGCTTACGATTTCGGCAGTACGGTATTGAGGGGAAGGGAAGAGCAACTTGCTCCCCTCCTTCCAGGGGCATGCTGCTTAGCATTTTTTTTCAAGAAAATTAAAGTATCATCACCTCACAACTGCTACCAGCATTATTACCATTCTCATTTTTTTAAACCAATTTTAAACGACAAAATCATTATAGCTCAATCCCCCAGCCGACCCTGGACACAAAACCTAGACATGCTGCTGGGGTGAGCTTCTTGAAATAATTTAGACAAACACAATATTTTACTGAATTCAGAAACTTCAGTTTTTATTAGATGTGTATGTGGCTTTTTGCAGATTCTTGTAATTTTAGATTTCTGACCACTTCTAACCCGGGCAGCCTTATGAGCAGGACGATAATACAAACTTCATACTTTGAGCTTCAAAATGAAATCTTAACCAAATTATTCTAACTTGTTTGTTAAGAGAGACAACAAAAAGTGACTGTTTCAATAAATGCTGCTATGCTTATGTGTTTGATCCTTCATAAATGATTTCCACAATGTACTTCTTGGACTTCTTGTGACTTGTGCTTGATGCAAGATGAATACCACTTGAATAAATACTGTGGATTGTCCGTGGATGGATATCAATGTCAGAATGAAGCTGGGCAATTATCAAGTTCTTTCCAATTCTACTCTTGTTGTTACAGGCTGTGACACTGCACCGTGGTGATGTGAGGTTTGACATCTACTTCCCTTTGCCTTTGGGCTGTTTCTTGGCCTTGGCCTTGGTGGCCTCTGCAGGCTTCTTGGCATCAGCAGGTGCAATCTGTCAACAGAATGAGGGTCAATAAATTAACCAGATTTGCCTCATGATATAACAGACAATGGAAAATCCCATATAAGGGAATGAAATTCTCATATTTTGAAGGCAAACTTATGCACATTAACTAGTAATTCAGGCAGGTTCAGAGATTATCATGTGCAGATTAGTGCAGAGTGATATTAATGAGGCTTGGCCTTGTCTGCTTCGCGGGGTGGGCGACTTCTCCGCTGATTGCCCCGCCGATTGCCCCTTAGCAGGCGATCAACTCATGAACACACATACATTGTACTTTTATAGTATAGCCATGATGTGTTGACACAAAATACTCCTTAAAAAAGATCTAAATATTTACCCGAACAGTCCTGAATCCCCCAACGTTAATATGATGTTTCACACACCCAAGGGAGTTAGGACCATAAATGAATGTAAATTTGAATATTTGAGTTCTAATGGATTTTTCATATTGACTTAGCCTCAAAGCAGTACACACCCCACGTTTCTTGTCCAAGTAAGCCTGTTTCTGAGCCTTGGAGCGCTCCTCAGCCAGCTTAGCCTGTCGCTTCTGTGTCTTAGAGTAAGGGTTGAGCTTGAACATGACGCGAACATTCTTCAGCGGGTTCTTCTTCAGCACCTTGCGCTTGTTGGCATCCAACCTGGAGTGAAAATAGAATGATAATAAGTAAAATGTTTGGCTAATAACCTAAGTTTATGCAGTGGTTCAAGATCACTGCCATCTTCTCTGTCCTCACAGGTACCCATGTATACTCCTAGGTGGAGAAAGCAATTGTAGAAGTGTGTCTTGCCAAAGAACACAAAACCCATGAGCCCTACTGGTGTCTGCACTCCCATTCTACTGCACATGATGAATTGGGCTCACATGAATTGGGCAGAGAGAGAGAAACAGATAGGCGATCACAATCACTCTTTGAGAGGCACTGGGTACGAGTGAAATAAACAATAGCATCACAATGGCCAACAGAGATAAAAAAAAACTTTGACCATGTGTTCAATGTCTACCTTTCTTCTTTGCATTGCTTGAGATAAACAGCTAATATTTATACACACACCTAATGGCAAACGGTCTTTTCCATACCATGTATTTTTTTTTTCAAGCAGAGATCAGAACTTGAAAATCGTCAATGGTTACTCAGAAACACGGAACCAATATATAAAAAGTTCATCATATCTCCACTTGGTTACATCAATTACTTTAATAAAAGATTTCTTTAATCCATTACCATGGAAACATCATTTTTCAAAAATCTATTCTCATGGAAACCACAATGTGCTTACTTCTTGGGTCGGAGTGCTCGTCTGATCTCCTGACTCTTTAGCAGACGGTTAAGGTCAGAGTTCATCATCATCGGCATCGGCAGGCTGTTGAAGACAATATGAGAAATATTTGTACATGTTTACTTGCTAATTATTAATAAATGTGGATTGATTGAAGGAACATTCAACGTAACCACCTGTGCACAGGAATGGTACCATCTCACACCCCTTCGTTGGCAAAAAACCTACATTGTGACATGGCATTTTGAAACAAAATAGCCTTTGAAATTTTAAAGATTAAGATTATTTATTCGTCGTGCATTAAAAAGAAAAGTTACATGAAAATTGTTTTCCTGATGTACAAGTTTTTTAGACACGTAGAATTTCAAAAGACAAAAGGACAACCATCAAAAAGGCTTAATGGCAAACGGTCTTTTTTTTTTGATGTATTTTTTTTTCAAGCAGAGATCAGAACTTGAAGATCGTCAATGGTTACTCAGAAACACGGAACCAATTTATAAAATATTCATCATATCTCCACTTGGTTACATCAACTACTTTAATGAAAGATTTCTTCGATCAGATCAGTGTGCAGATATCAGTTATATCACATATCGTCCAGTAGTTGACCAACGGTCACTGATCCGACATGCTCAAGGATTGCAGTTGATCTTTGGCTTACTTGTAGTTCTTCTTTTCTGCTGATGGTTTCTTCCATGTGCCATAGAGCGAGTCTAGTCTACGGAAGGCGCTTTCAGTCCAGATGCAGAATCGGCCGACATGACCACCGGGAGCCAGCCTGAGCAGGTTCATCTTGGTCACATTCATCAGCTTGATTCCTAAATAAAAACAAACCATTCACAGAATGCTTAATACACTCCCAAATTCTTCATAATCCATCACGACGTCTGGGTAGATTTGACAGAATTGTATCGAGTCCCACTACAGTTAACATGGGGCTTCATGCACCGTTTGTTTACAGCACAATGCAGGATTTTTGTATTCCAGATCCCGAACCGTTCTGGTAAAAATGCCTGTGGGGATGGAGACTAAGTCACAGGATGAAAATGACATGGTACATATAATTCATGTCAAACTGACTGGTAATGAGTCAATACCACCATTAATCTGAACCAACTTCAACCTATTTCATTCAAACCCAGGAATTGCCATTTGATTCAAACCCAGGAATTGCAGTATATTAATCTCTTTTATTTTGCCAGCAATAACACAAAAGAGGCACTAGACATTAGCTCTCACCCATGTGAACTAATTCTACTGGTAACAAATACGACTTGCATTTCCAATGAATGGGATCAGCAATACATCAGCAATCACATGTCATCAGAAACACGGACTAAGTATTATCTCATCATATCCCTTTACAAACGAACAGCAATTAATAAATGAGACCATCCTGACAATATGAATCGAAGGCAATTCGACTGACCTGGGATGTTTCTGAAGGCTCGTGTGATTCCGTTGTCCTTCTCAAAGATAATGAGGGGACCCAGACGTTGGACGTGTCGCCGGTTACGCATCTTGCCCTTACCAGCTCGGATACGCTTGGACTTGTACACCTGTTAATGGTCAGGCCAGAAGCAATCCATGAAAATAAAAAGTTCTTGAGGACGACTATATACCCATTAAGATTTTCTTCTAAGTTTCTTAATGAACAAAAATTGACAAAACAACTGACTAGGTATGTCCTTATTATTTAAACTTGGGCAAATAAAATTGACTCGGCAAGATTCGCCCCCGAGACCTCCGATATGTCTTACATGTACTCTAGTGACTGAGGTGTCTTGCCGTGTATTGGGGACCTAACTAAGTTGGTAGACTGCCAGTAGAGTGTTCTGAATGTCTAGGATTTGAATCTTGCATCAGTCAATGTTTAATTTTCCGCCAGAGATTTTGCACACATGGGACTATACTAAAAAGAACAGTATTCAAACCGTGAAATTATATTATAAATAACAGCTTTTGGAACAGAGGAGGGTGCCAGATGTATTTTTTTTTGCTCCTACAATTCTGAGGAAACTTTTGATCTTTGGCACCGAGTGGAGATCCTAGGCTCACCTTCTTGATGTCTGCCCAAGCCTTGAACTTCTTGAGGAAAAGGACAGCTTCCTTGGTGCGCTTGTAATCCTGAACGGCATCACTCACGACAAGGGGAACCTCAGGGATGCGATCGATGACGTGACCTGATAACGCAATTCAATTCAACTTATTTGTAATTGTTCAATAATTCATCCAGACCCAGTCAAGTCCCAAGTTTTTTTTCAAAATTAACTATGACAAAGGCATTCCTTAAATGTGTTTGATAAACAAACACATTCCTTCACGATTGCTCATCCCCTGTTTACACTTGTAATTAGACCTGTGAACTGACTCTAAGATTGAATTGTAATCAGACTTGTGATGTAGTTGTTATCTACCACAAGTACTTTGACTACACCACTGTAACTCAGAGTAGGCAGGTGTGAGTTCTTAGCTTAAAATATAAAACAAATTATACTTAAAGAGGGTCAAATCTGACATTTATCAGCAAATACCTGAACAAGACCATTGCGTCACACTATTGTTGTAGTTAAATGGCTTTGGATTTTCACTATGTTACAATGTTGTTCATATCCATAGCCGGATCCAAACATCCTGAGTTAGACACCTTGTCGCTCCAGTACAATTGTGGAAATGCAATTACTGACCCTTTGACATGACTAGAGCTGGCACAGCAGTAGCAGCCAGAGCAGAGCACATGGCGTAACGTTTCTGGTTAACGTTGGTGCGGCAATGCCACTTCCGCCAGATCTTGGTAGGGGCAAACATGCGTCCACCACGACACATCTAGAGATATCACAAGTCAAGGCAAACTGGCAGCAATAGGAATACGGGGAAGCACTCTTAAAGGTATACACACTATGTGAGGGTTTCTATGTTAAACCTAAGCTCTCCCAAGTCCCCTTTAAAATCTGCCAGCTTTGAAGGATTTTGAAGGATTGAAGAAGACAGAACCTATCACCTAAACTAACTCGATTACTTCAAACAAAAACCCTCTTTGTGCAGGATTTGTGGGGAAAAGCACGGGTCAGGATTTTACCAGAGATCAGAAACATTTCTTGATTGACGTCACAGTACTGTCGGAAACACGGACGTTTTGATCATCATTTCTCCGGAATACTAAGACTTGACTTGACTTGACCTTTTAGCTAAAGTTGAACTTCATATTAAAGTTCCTGTATTTTAGGACTTGGAAAGGTTTCCTAAAATACATGAAACATGGGGCATTAAGATCTATATAACGTAATAGCTGATGAGATGTACCTCTTCAATCCTGCTGGATTTCAAAGGACCCGAAAAAGTGACGGATTAATCATTATGAGGTACACAATGTTTGGAGGTTTTCAAAGGATACGTTTCCAAATGCAGCTTGACCAGATCGATGAGTACCTCCACCACGGACACGGGGGATACGAGCCACGGCACGTCCAGTTCCCCACGACTCTGCACTGGTCTGATGACCTGTCAACAAAAGACATCCATTTTAAGATGAGTAAGCAACTTACATTGAGTGTCACTATCTGATCACTTTGTTTAAATGGTTGAGACAAAGCCTGATCTGACTGCAACATTGCCAAAAACTTGATGTATTTTTCATGTTTGAATTGGGTACAAAAAATGAAACCTGTTCAAATCAAAGAACCTTAAGTTTCAAGTCAACTGTTGTAATTTGCTTGGTTCAGATCAGCAGGATGCACGCTGCTGTGATTTAACAAAGTGCTACAGGAATCCGAAGACAAAAAATACAGATTCTTAAAAAAAAAAAAAAATTAATACCTGCTAGCTTGTTGACAGCATAGGGTTGGCGGCTGTTTTTACGCATGTTAGTGTGGACAAAGTTGACAATGTCAGGGCGGATGGGGGCCTTGAAGATAGCTGGCAACTTGACATTAGTGCCACTTGCTTCATTCTTCTCGGTGTAAACCGTGATTAGGGGGCGTGCAGCAGCAACAGCCTGAACAGGACCAGGGAAAAAAACAACAATGAATTAGAGAAAGGCTATTCTCATCATCACGGCTTGGCTTTGCAAGCGAAGATTATGAAGGTTGTCCATGTCGAATGCAAGCACGCTGATGGCTCAGGAGACCTATCCAGGAGACAGATCCTACTGCAGCGGCTGCAGATACAAGATTGATCATTGGGCTTGGCCTGGGGGTTCTTTCGACGGTCTCTCTTGTCCTCAGCAAGCTTCCTTCTGTTGGGATTTGTTAGTGATTCCTAACAAAATTGGAAATGTTTTTCTTGCATTTGTTGCTTTAAAAAAAAAAACGTTTACATGTATTTGACTATTTCCATTTGATTAGGCCAAGTAAAAAAAAAAAAACATGTTTAGCGTCCTGCCTTTTGGAAAAAGGAAGGAGGCCTCTTTTTTCTTCTCAAGATGGCCACCAGCTTTTTTCTTAAATGGCCGCCGCCAGGCGCCACTTTTCTTGGGCTCAGGAAATTACGTAGGGCCTATCAGCTTTCTAAATTCTATAGTGCTATATGCATGGGACTCGGGAGCAACTATAGAATGCAGGGCCACACCGGAGCAAGGTTTTTTAATTTGCTTGGAGGCGTGGATGGATAGGAGTAATAGATATGCAAACCTGCAAAAAGTGCTAAGTACAGCGAATGCACTTGTCTTCTAAGCTTCTCATGAAGGATCGGAAGGGAGGGCGTGCTTGTAAATGTGTTGGGGGCACTGTCTGGAGTGGCGGAGGCGCGGAGTCGGGGAGTCGCAGAGTCCAGTCGCGGAGACGCGGGGCACTGGAGTGGCGGAGGCGCAGAGTCGCCGAGTCGCAGAGACTCGCGCCGATAGAGGGCGCAATTCTCGGCGGAATTTTTTTGAGAACGAAGCATCCGTATCCATTTTAAATGGGCTCGCAAATTAGGAAGGGAGGAGGGCGACGGGGCACTAACTGGAGTGGCGGAGGCGCGGAGTCGGGGAGTCGCAGAGTCCAGTCGCGGAGACGCTGGGCACTGGAGTGCAGTGGCGGAGGCGCAGAGTCGCGGAGTCGCAGAGACGCGCACCGATAGAGGGCGCAATTCTCGGAGATATCGACGGCGGCTCCACGACTCCACGATCGATTTTCGGAGGTAGGTCAACTGCGGCTCCACGCCTCCACGCAGCCGTACGGAGGCGTAGATGTAGAGTAAAGTGGCCCTGCATTCTATAGTTGTACCTATGCATGAATTATGGGCTAGATGCAACAGAAAGAGGCCAAAATCATGTCACAGTTTAAACATTTTAATTTTGGGGGTTTTTTTCCAACCAAAAAAAAGGAGGCGGCCTCCAAAAAGGAAGTGGGTGGGGACGCTAAACTTTTTTTTTTCGATTTGGCCTTTGATTCTTTGAACTTGAAGTTAAATTTAGTCATTTAATTATTTTCTATCTATGCATAAATTTCCAAAAGATTGTTTAAATATAACTCATCCTTGACGAATAACTCTAATGAATAATGATTGACTGCAATAAGTGGTCATCAGAAATATCGGTCGAAATAAAAATGCACGTGTCGCCCAATCAAACCTAATGCAAGATGGCGGCGACCACGATTGCACTCATTTCATTTCACGTAACACACTATCACTAAATTTGTCTGTAATTTGACCATTAAGCGTCCAAAAATATTCATTGTATTGTAGAAGAATTTCATCAATGGCTATTCATGTTCATAAAACCAACATCCCTTTTCCAAGATTTGTCTTAAATTCTCACCATATTGAAGTTTTTGGGGGCAGTTTTTATCTGCCTACACGATTTTCGGCTGCCACGGGATAAGAGGATGAATACAGGATTCACAATTAGTGATTAGGTCGAACTCGTGAATACAATTTTATAGAGATGATATAGTAGAAAAGCAGACAAAAATTGTGAGAAACGACTACGATGCTAGAAAATTGGATCAAAATAAACCTCAAAGTCATCTCAGATTCCTCTTAAATGAATTAATATGATCCAAAACCTTTGTACGAACTACTTTTTTACCGGGGTACAAGCATAAAAATTGTAAGCTCTTTTTCAAACATCGGAACCATCTTCTGTGGGTCTATAACTAGATCGAAAATCATTTAGAAGCTTTTAAGTTTTATGCCCAAACTAAATAAACGTAGAAAGAAAACTGTACAAGACGGCCTCGTAATATATTATATACTCCTAAAAACGTGGCATGGATCCTAATATTGGCCAGAATCCCCCAAGTTATGGGGTAAAACTCCTTGCAGCCGAGTCTGCAGACGAAGCAGAGGTTTCGAAAACCTAAAACATGTTCGCAGAATACTCAAAAGAGGGCGCTAGCGGCTGATATCGATCCCATGATGCTCTGCGACATGTTGCGCCAAGTTTGTCTTGTTTGTTTTGCGAATAAAATAGATAGCAAAATAAATTTCTTCTTTTCTGGGCAATATGAAAAATTTCAGAGCAGATGTAAAGAATTTCCTGGAATCAGTTAAAGAGTAAGAATTTTTTCATGTTTTGTCTAGAGTGTGTAAAATTGTGAGAGCAAATGTTTTCAAAATTTGTCCAGTTTCCGGACAGTTCAACTATAACTTGATTTGCACTACTACTGGCGTGACTGGACTGCCACTGTCATGACTGTGCCAGTACTGTGACTGTGTGCCACTGCATGAAAATATTCTGTAATTTTTAGTGTCAAAGTATTATTATTTTTAAAGCTCTAAATTTCCCACAAAATTTCAAACTTATCAAAGACAAAGTGTTTAATAATATTAATAATCATATAGGAATCCTTAAAAAATAAACAATATTTTGTTTGATTTTTGAATCAGCATTTTTTCTCTCATTACAAAAAAGTCATGATTTTTTCCAACATGTCCGAGCCATGCATGTCTAGGCCCACACCACAAGGTGACCACACAGCCTGCCGTAACACATTGGTAAAAAAGCCAATGTCAAACAAATGTTCGCTCCCACCTATAAAGTATAATGCATCGGAATCATCAGTATGTTATTTTTTTATTAAATTAAATCCTTGATGATTGAATTTTGCAGACTTTTATCAAAATATCAGAATGATGTGCAGGCAAGTGTCATCTTCAAAGACTACAAGTTGTCCCTTGTGGACTCTGAATCGCAAGAATTAGCAGAACTACTTGGATCTGCTCAAAATCCTCAGAGGAATGCAAACGTTATCTTAGTTCAGCAGGATGACTCTTTCAAGGTTTGTTGATTGTCAATCATTCATAATCATTCATATTGTCAAGGGGGGTGCATATACCTATATTATAGTGTGTATATTGCACTGACAACTGGAATGGGATCTCTGCAGTAACATCTTGCTAAATAATTTTGTCTCTTGATTGGCTTTAGAGCATGTCATGTGTTGGATAGTTTTGTTCATTGTTTTCATGCCCATATTACATGTAAATACTACAGCAACATCAATCTAAAAAGATCTACTGCAAAAAAAACGTGTGCAACTAACCTTATTTATGGAATAGAATACTTTGCCTCAGCATGGATCAACTCAGGAAGGATATAGTTTTATTAAACCACTGAGAGCAGTCATTATTTGTAGAATATATGTTGTCATTCTTGTTGCTCTTTGTCGTTGTTCACTATGCTCAGTACTTCGGAAAAGATGAAAATAGTTTGGCAGATGAGTCACTAGATGACACGGATAGATCCTATGTTGGCAGCAATGGCGGCAAAGATCCAGAAGAATGCAGATCCTTTAGCCCGGTAACTCTGGACAATGCTAGGTAAATTAGTTTAAAAAGCCAGTTGTCCACACTTAACACAATCAAAGTTCCATTCAATCAAAGTTCCATTGATTGAATTTTGTAAATAAGCTATGAAAGGCAAATATGCCCTATGAAAGGGGAGGTTTTACACCCCCCCCCCCCAACACACACACACACACCCAAAATGAAGACCAAGGTTAAAGCTTGGAAATGTTAATTCCATCACCTACAGAACACTTGCCGTCTTACTGGGCACTTGTTCTCCTATTTAGTTGCTATCAACTGTGGACCATTTGTTGAAACATGTCAGTTCACTAGGTTGAAATTATAGTTAGCTATGTTTGCAATGTCCAATATGATGGAACTAATAGCATTTGAAAGGTGCATGTTGTCAAAATTTTGTTTTATCAGGAATGAGTAATCACTTGCCAAATTTGATACTACAGATATGTGCTGTCTCTCCACAATGTATGCAACAACCCACACCTTGCCTCATTACGCGGCGCAGACGAAGAGGCAGAGAATACATTACCAGAAATGGTGGTGTGCTGCGATGGAAAGGACCCAGACCACATCGCTGTGATGGCATGCTCATCAGCCAATCAGAAGGCAAGGTCATCAGGGGAGGGTAAAGGTCAAAGGTCACCTGGTGTGTCAGTGACAACTGTGTCATGCTTTGGTAAGTGTGCTTAAATTTCTGTCACTGAAGATGAGTATCCAATTTGATGCAGTGCTGAGCAAAGACGTTTGTTGAGCACAGAAAAAAAATGTCAGCAAAACAGATTTTGGGGCTTTTTAAAATTGCATATGGCTTTGGAATTGGATTTGCTATTATTGGTTGATGCAAAATGTTACTATTTCACTCTTTCTTTAGGCCCTGTGACATCCAAGTCTAATCTACTGACTGTTGATCAGGTAATACAACAGAATGGAGGACAGCCACACAAGGATGATGTAAGCAAGTCTTTTTTTGATCTCTTTAATATCTGTCAGATATGAAATCAGAGTTCTGCTAGGGTTGGAATCAAACCAGAGTCCTCTTGTTACTCATAGTTTATAAACAATTAGCTTGGTGACTCTCGACAGGCCTAAGATAACATTACAGTTCTGCCTTTATACCAATCTGATCAGTTTGTTTTCTTGTGCCTCTATTTTAGGTGACTACCTCTGCATTTGCCCAGTATGAGATTGTGGGAATGACATACCATGAGATGTCAGTCCTGGAGCCAGCCAGTCACTCTCATTATACGTCGGTCACTATGGATTGCAGCTGGGAGCATGTCAAGGGCATGTTGGAGAAACCTCACAGTGCCAAATGCAATGTGGTGAGTGTGCAATCCTCAATTTCATTTATCTTAATATTGATCTCTGCAAAACATAATTAGATATTCATAGAATTGTAACAAAGACTGCCATTTTTTAAAATTTACAACAAAGTGGATAATCTTATCGTAAAATTTGTAAATTTATTTCCAGCATGTGAGTGCTGTACCAGGAGATATGAGAAGTGCAGCCTACAGTGTGTATAGAGAGCTCGCAACATTAGTGGTATGTGATAATATAACCCCCACCCTATTCTCAAACTGACCCCCTAGGGCCCCTCTCCCCTCCTCATAACACCCCATGTCACTACACATCAGCTGGTTCACCCAGGGTGTAAATCTGGAAGTGTGGGGGAATGGCCTGTAGGATCATCCCACCCCCATCCCCCACCCACCCACGAAACTCCACAATTTTTGCTTACAACACACAAGAATAAAAAAAATTTTTAAGAAAAGTTGAATGAAAAAAAGAACCCTAGACCTCAAGCAGAAATTCAAATTTAGTTTAAAAAGTATTGGTAGAAACTGCCAGGCATGGACATAAATAAAGCTAGTGTCTTATGGTGTCTTGCCCTATACAGGTTTTACTCAAAATGTGCAAGTTGTTTTGGGGATACCTGGTAGTTAAATGAAAGTATGGAAGTACAAAATGTAATATGATTAAAAAGTATGTTACTGAAAGCAACAAATCTATTGTTACCAATATCACATCCCGGTGTAAGTTTGAATAAGTGGTATATTTAGGAATTCTGATTCAAAGTGATGAATAAATGCTATCATTTTAAAAACATGTGACTGAAAGTTTTTTATTGAATTACTGGGAAAATATGATGATCTTGTGACTTATTATAAACTTATACTTTAGTTTGTTATTTTTGAAGGGTTTTGTTGAGGGATTAAAAACAGAAGAACTGGAATGGAATACGAAGGAGTCATCAGGTGAATCAGTAGAGGAGGCTGTAACCAGACTGATAGAGAGAGAGAAGCAAGGGCCACAGAGAAAGCAGCAGCCCCAGGTGAAGTCAAACTGACCAGGTTGAGTCCATTAAATCAGGGCACACAGTTAAGAAGGAAAATGAGAGATGATTTCACTGCTGATTGTATGTATTCCTTACCAGCACCAAGCCAGTCACAGGTATTTGCATAATTCTTTCCATCCTCTTGTCCTTGTTCTAGGTTGAAACATCCCTTGAGAGCGGTGAGACTGATTTTGATTCCGTCCTCCGTGGTTACGTCATTCCTGAGCGTCAAGACCTCTACTTCTCAGAGAGTCTCTGGAGTATCTTGTGGTCCAAGGCAACGTGTTACAACGACGCCATCAAAGCCTTCTCCACCGTCTTCTGGGAACTCAAGACTGGAGAACTACAGCCTATTGTAAGAGTAAATCTGATGTCGGACCAAATCCGATGTCAAATTTTTGGACAAGCAAAAACATAATCTGGCATGGAAAAACTGATTTGAATCATTCTTGGCAACTAAATCTTTATCACAGCTTCATCACTTTAGTTCTGAATTGTAAAAACCTCAAATCTTTGTCATTATCTATTGAATTGTTTTACTGCTTGCTTGCACAGGTGCATAGTGATAACCAGAGCACCTTAGCTAAAGCCATCCGTGCTTCCTACCAACAACAGATGCACACAGTCAGTGTGGATGAAGTGGCTACACTGACCATGCTGGTTGAGATTGGTCTGGACAAACTCAGACGAGACTACACCAACTTCTTCATCGGTAGGTCTTCAACCATCATCTGGTCCTTTAACTTGGAGCTTGTAGACAAGTATTAAAACAAGACTTTTGTAAAGCCTAGTAAAGTTAGTCTCAGACCAGTATCTGTCTAGCCATGGAATGGCTGGCAGTCTGTTCATGCATCTGGTCTTCACGATGGGTCCAGGTTAGCACATTCACAGGGCAATCTTAAACGATAGAAGTGCCCAGAAAGACCTATGATGTCAAAGTATGGTTTTAAGATTGGTCCAAACTTTCTTCTGTCTCATTTTAGCCAGTGAGTTGACAACATTGAACCAGCTTCAGTGGTTTCTGCAATCCGGCGAGACTTGTCCATTGCCGGAGCAGGTGTCTCGTCTTCAAGCCTTGCATAACGTCTTAGAGGTTGCTGTGGTCTCAGTGACATCACTGAAACTACCTCCAGAGCACCGTAGAGTTCTTGTCAGGTAAGCGAGTACATTAGGACACGGCTAGAAACAATTGCACCTTCAATTGTTGCATGTGGGCTCCGCATTTGTAGATCAAGATGGTGTTTCGTGACCACTCATCACTACAGCTCATGTGTATGTGTAGGCCGCCCATTTTTTTTTTTCCAGTGGGCAGGTGAAGCAGTTTTCATAAATAATTCAGTAGTTTTGATGGGAAAATTTTTTTTTTTCTAAAGAGGAGCAGTGACAACAACACCATTGTTATAGACAATGTTACATTTATTTACAGAATTGTTTAATATGTTGTGGTCCCGTGATGCCCATTTTCAACAAACAGTTCTCTTCGGCACTGCATGTGTATCTCTTGAATAATGAATGGTTGAAAAGTGTTGACGTATATTGTCTAATATTGGCCAAATATCATGCCCAAGATGCTTGTTGCTTGTTGGCATGACGTCACAGTTCAAACGGTCTATACAATTATAGCAACTACATTACAGCATTTCAAAGAGCGGTTGTGTAGCTGCCACAGTAGTCTTGTGGATAGTGAGATGAGCTGTGGATTTCAAGATCCTGGTTTGAATCCACTAATGATCTTTTTTCTTTGACAGTTTGTGTGCTCCAAACTTATGATTAGGATAATTTTAATTTGAGTGAAATAATCAGAGAACCTGGATGTCTTGCAATAATTTCATCTCGACTACTGAATTATACATGGAATGACTCACGATCACTTGCCAATGGAAAGAAAATGTGCATGCTGGCCACACTGTGTGGCCTTTAAAAAAAAATTGTTTCCATGCGAGCATGTACATGTATGTGTTTGTAATGAGCCTATCCTCAAATGCATGTAAAAAATGTATTTGCCTTCATAGGGTTGCATTAATTATGAAAAAAACAATTATCAAAATTATATATTTCAAATTTTTTTGATAATTGTCAAAATTAGATTAAAATTTTTCTTTATTGGACACCATTCCAAGCCCAGCAATGATTTAAAGATTGTGTGCAAAGTGTTTAATCTTAGAGGCGTATTGTTTTCTTTGTATTTTGTCCCCAGGTCAGCCTTAGCCTTCTACCAGTCTCACCCTCATGATGACATGCATACATTCACTCTCCCCGTCCAGGCAACTACAGTACAAAGCTTGTATACAAGGTAACATTGCACACAGGTTTTCTCATGTAATGTGCTTCACAGCATATGGTTCACCCTAGGGACCCATACACCCCACGCACCATTAGTGGGTACATGAATAATGCACTATGCAGAGTCCTTATATGGTGGTACGTGCACTTCTGAAATGTGTCCGTTTTGATAGAAACTGTTCTTAAGTAATGAAATTTCACAACCTTAATCCGTGATATATCATGTCTAATGTCTCTTGACTATCTGATCAGCATCATTAGTTTCTCCACAGTTCTATCGTACTTCTCTGAGCTCGTCTCAAGGTCTAGAAATGTACCGCTACCTCCTGTGCTTCATTATGGCTTATTGCCCATGCATCATTAACCATGACATAGTACACTGCAAAATGATAAAATATTCACTAATAATTGCTGGGCTTTAACAACCTGTAGGCTGTGGTTCGTTTCATCCTCGCTTTGAATCGAGGTCATTTCCATCATGAATTGGTAATCATTGCCATTACAGTTGATTGCACATGAGCTGCTCTGTCATGTCGCTCGGTGAAATAGAACAAGACAAGTCAAGCCTATTAAAGCTAGTCCCAGAGTGCACATAACTCTATTCAGGTGATTCAGAATGGCTTTTCACTGGAAGTTGGTTTTCACGTACCAGTATCTGGTCTGCACAATAAGCTGGCTTATATATTGAGCCCATTCATATCACTGGTGTTATGGGGTAATCCTACACGATAGCACTGCCCAGCTTACAAGCGACAGTCAGTATAAAATTGCTTAAAGCAATAGTCCCTTTTTTTTTGGGGGGGGGGTGTGTTTATAATTAACTCCTAGCAGTATCTAGGGTGCATCTTTCGTCAGCAAATACATTTCTTTGCCAACATCTTCTTCCAAGCAACTTCATGATATTAGTTTTTGGATGATCATTTTTTGTGTGTGTGTCTAGCTTCCAACCCTCTTTGTGGCGATTAACAGTAAAGGGTGGTTCAGGCACCAGTGTTTCCTATCAACTGTCAATGAAGCTACCCTTATCTCATATAACTGGACTAGACCAAGGTAAAATTCCTCTATTTTTTGAATTTTTATTTTTCTAAAAAGTTTCAGTCAGTCATGGTTATTTCATTGTATGCTTGCTCCCTTTTTTGTGTTTTGAATTTTTATTTGAAATGTACAAAAACATGTACAGTTTTGTAATATATAAGAATGATTGCCATTGTAAGGAACAAAGAAAAACCTTTTATCGCTGTGTGCCAAAGTGCTTTGTTCACGTCCAGTCCTTGGTAAAAATGCAGATTTTTTTGTCAAGAATTCTGGCAAATTTATATTAAATTATTGGCAATTTGTCCACGAATTTAGCTCGGCAGAGAACGGCCCAAAGCAATTATTGCATCAAACGCATGAACAGTTTCTAGTGCACTTTTGAAAAGATTCCATGAAAAAAACACGCGGCCAGGCATGCAAGGACATTGACATGAGTTCACTTTGTGCCACCACCAAAAAAAAAGCAGAAAGAAAAAAACCCGATCAGATTATCCTGCTGCTTTTGCAAACTCTGTGTATTGTCTCACTCGGCTTTGATCAAATTACAGGCCAGCAATGCAAACAAAGCTGAGGCAAAAGCTGAGTCACTCTCACGTGCGCACTTCATTAAAAGTGAATTTCTTTTTTTCCCCCTATGAGTGAAAGACATGAGATTGGCAAACATAAAAATTTAAACTGAACAGTGAACCGTATGCTTTACAGTGCATTGCACGTTGCAACCAAGTTGTAAAAATCACAGCTAGATTTTCTTACTAATTCATGTCTAAAGACTAATTTGGTCTGGTGTGAATGGGGAACACCAGTCTGACACGGCAGGGAGAATCAAAAGAACTTCTAATCATTCTCTGCAAATCTTGCCAAACATTGGTGCAGAATATTCATGTTGTCGATATGAAGCAAAGATGTGTAATGTATTCTATAAAAGTGTATAACAAAAGACAGAAGACAACAGTTTGTATCAGTGTAATTTGAAAGAAATTGTCCCATTGGAACTGACTCATGTATTGAAAAAACTCAGTGATGAAAACAGAAGAAAAAAATTCTTTAAGACTACATAATATTTAGGAAAACACTGCCATCTTTGCCGGGAGCAAGACCAAAAATGTAAACGACCTTATATTATCTTTTTTTTTTTTTCTTTAATTGTCATCCTCTGCAGATATAAGTATGGGAGACCTTACCAGCGCTGGTTCTTTCTGTTACTATGTGACTCACACAAAAGAAAGTACTGCTTCATTTCTATGACGATAAGAAACATTGAACTGACCGAACTCTACTGAAGCAAACTCATGCGGCAGCAACTTTGACCTAGAGGGTGCTCTTCAACATGATGAGAAAAACACCAATATCCCATACCAGACCCCCCGACAGTTTTCACAATGTTCAGTCTTGTCCCAGTTTGAATGTGGTTTACTTCTATATAGCATGGGCCATTCTATAACGCGGTCCAGCCTTGACATTAAGAAGCTTATAGCACAGAGTGAAGACCGTATACGTTCCACACTACACATGCTATCACTGCCATATGGTCCCAAAATCCAGATCCATGTACACATGTATAGCTTATGGGCTAAATTCTGTTTATTGCAGTAGCTGCCGTTTAACCATACCAATAAAATGAACAAGTTAAAAAAAAGCATAACAGCTAAAAACGAAACATTGTTTATCTTTTAACTTCACATTGTCATAGCTTTCTGTTATTTCCAAATGTATTGTGTTGTTAATTTATGTAACAACATGGTTAACAACATGGTTATCAGTCATAAGCTATAATAAGAATAATAATAATAATTTGGGAGGCTAATCATCCTTACTCGCAGCTGGTATGCTGAATTGCGAAGGACGCGGCTACTACGTTTTTCATATTAACTATGATTTATTTTTCATTGATTTTCCAACATAATGCTCGTTTTCCTCTTTGTAAATATTAATTTTGTCTTTTTCTATACATTTATATGAACAATCTTGCTCTGTTACATATGTATCCTACGTGCACACATTAAACAGCATAGATATGTACATGGAGCCGTTTCTTATACATTTCTTTTTTTGAATGTCATTTATTTTGTAATTTAATAATTACTGATTTGAGAGGTTGTTATCTGATGTAAATTACAGTCTTGCGGATGTTGTCTCAGACTTTTGCTCCTTGTGTATTCATAATCCCCATTCAAGCTTCCTCAGTCCTGCCTTCTTGCAGTCATAAATTCTCTCCATCACCATATGGGAGATATAATTACTCCCTCCACGAAAAAACATTACATTACTAGTCATCGTGTTCAGCAATTACTGAATCTACTGCGCTGTATCGGGAGAATAAAGTCATTACGTGTACATGTATAGCTCTCCAGACAATATGGATTGAATTTTAATCGACCACATTGCTGCAGGCTACATTTCCTAAAGATCTGTAAATCCTGCATATCCCGTATCTGGAAATCAAGACACTTCTTTCCACGTTTCCCAGTTGTTCATGTTTACAGTCTTTAATTTGATGGAGGCGAGCGCATTTACTGTTCTTTAAATTAGTATATATTTTTTTCGATTTGATTATATTGCGAGATTGCACAAAAAAATATTGACGTTTCGTCAAAACTGCCCGCCAACGTCTTAACCAAATCCCCCTTGAATAACAACTTCCTCAAGATCCTCAGGGTCGAGCTATAAATGAGATACCTAATCCAGACTCAATTCCCAATCTTATTCATCCAAACATTCCGACTTTGCAAATCCCTCCTTGCACAATCTCCGCTGAACACGTCTCATCCGTCCCCCGGCCGACAGTCCTGCTGAAATATTAAAGCAACAAACAAGGGGCTTCATTCAATAAAACAAGAAATCTCCCTTCATCAGCCCGCTTCGACGGGGGCCCTAACACCGCAAGCTTCAATACAATCACCGCCACACAGGCTGCTTATCCTCTAACGACACGCGCGTTTCTATGTTCGCATCTCTTTATAGCAGTTGCCATAGTAACGGATGCAAGAGTACGTCAGTAGGAGCAGTATCGTACGTCAGCGTGGATTGTAAGGTGGGGGGGTGTCTCTCGGCTCAGGAGCAGCAGCTTAAAGCGTTTACGGTTGGTGTTGTTGAGCAATTGGCTCGTCTTTAATGGTCGCCATCCCGGTGCACGGTGCCGCTGGGATGGAGTGTGGTGCTGTCCCCAGACTGGTTATAGATGAGTCAATTGATGGCTGATTTCGCACAGGTGATGGAGTAAATTAAATTTGTCGCCTCTCCCTGTCCGGGGACTCCAGTGATAATGGGACTATGTGTGTTAATTTGATGGAGACCTGCTGCTGAAAAACAGTCTGGTTATCTCAGAAACATCGGGAAACTCGCGTTTTATCACGTACGGAGTTGAGAACAAGAAAAATGGACTAAAAAAAATAAGGACAAGCAGACTAAAAAGAATGTCAAAGGTTTTTTTCGTGGACTGAAGGAAATCTGCCCTTTGAAAATGTTGATTCCAAAAAAACAAAAAACAAATTTGCCTGATGACTCCAGTATGCTCACCGCATGACTGACACTTAGAGACTTAGATATACAATGTACATGTACTGGCAATTTATAAATTATCATCAAACAAGACAGTCATGTTATCGTTCGTAATGCACAATGAGCATCCCTTGTCCAAATAAATGTTGATAGCAATATAGCCGTAATTTTGTTCATATATTTATTTTAATTCATTGGTAATAAGAAAACGACATTTGGTCTTTGTACGCGTGTAAAGTTATTTTGCAAGCGGGACGGACTGCATTTCTTTGTCATTTTTCTCGTCTAAAAAAAACTGCCGGCGGCAAAGTCGGATATTTTTCTTGTCTCCTCAAGCGATGACGTCAACGATGGTTTCCACCTCTTGATCAAGTTTCGCATTGCCACGGTTATGTCGAGTGGAGTAACTCGATGCAGCCTGTGGATTACGTACGGGAAGAGACGTGGCAAGCAAGCAGCTAGGTATAGCGACGCCAATAAATGCCAAAGCATCCGCCTTGTGTTGCTTACATAACGAGTCTGTTTAAAGGTTGAGTCTGGCATTTGGGTTTGTGTGCGTGTCTGCCTGCTGTTTGGCTAGATTGCTGTATCAACCGTCAAGGGTAATTACACCTAGTGTTAGTCTCCTCACGTCGTCCACAGTGTGCGATTCTGCATTACAAATGGCAACATTAAGGGGAAAAACATACCTATATCTCCTTGTCACATTTCAAGGTTGTGACATTACACAATGCTTCGTACATAGGATCATTTGCTCTTTATGCAAGTTTTCCATATGAAACAACAAAATTGCTTATATCTCAACCACTTATAGGGCGCATAGCAACGATAAGATCAAGGTTGACTGATAAAGAGAGACCATTAAGTATGTTTTGGGGGTCCTAATTCCGTTCCCAGCACGTGGAAAGTGGGCCCGATTTTTTAAAACCAAGCTTCAGTGAGTGTTTTCTTTTGATCGAAGTCATTTCTAGCGGAATAATTTTACAGAGTGGTTAGAAGTAGCCCTGCCTTCACTTTGCAAAGGTTTAGCTAATCGTTAATTTGATACATAATGTTTGCGGGTATTAATTACCAATGTCCAATGTGCCTTTAAGAAGACAGGAAATAGGCGCCTTTTGGTAAAATTACTGCTCAAATCTGCGTATTCTGGCAACGCACTCTTTTGTGATCACAACTTAGTCGGGCGAGGCCCGTGTATTAAAAGAAAACCTTCTCCATTAAAGTCTTCATAATTTCTTGATTACTAATTGTTCTAAAGCAACATACTCGAGTACATTAAATGTTAATGTGTCGGGAGCAATACAACTATCGATGAAAGCACAGTGACAGTGGCGTTTGACCGACTACACTCGTTAATTATGAACACAAGCTGACCAAGTCGTTCCCGATTCACTTTAAATTATGAGCGTGGAGTAAAATCTTGGTGGCCCCCAGGGTATTGGATGAATAATGGACGGTATGGCAGGAACAGGCACGTCTGGCACGCTCTAAATTACCCCCGAATCTATAACGACCACAAAGACCTTACATTCGTTCACCAGATTTTTTTCTTAACCTTATGCCACTTTCCCTGAATTCCCTCTAATCTTCGCCAACGCTTGCAAAATTGCATATGTGAGTCATTGCACTGCTCATAGTGTCACGTTAGCAATTTAACACCGTTTATCTTAATGTACTTCAAAATTATTAATTTTTCCCGCGGAAGCCTTTTTAATTATTTTTTTTGGGGGGGGGATCAGATTAAGGTTTTTCTTGTAGAGTAGCGATTTAATTCTGTGATCATATTGCTAAGAACATTCATCACCAATGTGACGTAAGACTATCATTACGGTTAACAAAAGATAGTAACAGTAGACCGTACCTCTCCTGAATTGGCTGTACTGAGGGGGCCTAATTGCAAGAGTCGATGAAATAATCTTTAAATGCTTAGGTTCTTGTCTTATATAAACCAACTCCTTTGATGATGAAAAATTGAAAAAAGCAGCCTTTAATTTCGATATACATTTACGTCCATATTACTCAGAGAAATCGCAAAGATTTGTTTTACGAACTCGTTACATAGGAAATCAAAATTGTAATTTTCAAAACATTAATGCTTTGTTCGTTGGCGGCGCTTTTGCAAATTCGAGGTTTTTTTTACAAATGGCCGAAAAAAACGATGTTGTACTCCCAGAACTTTTGAACATCGTGTGTAACTTTTTGGTTAGATTAAGCATAATTTAAGCTAAAACTCTACTTAATACGTTCCTCCTTCGTTGGAGTTGGTCTTTAAGTTCATTGACACTATAATCAGTGAAGCTCTGCACTTTTAATTCTACCATTTTTCTGAACATTATGCATTATTTATTATCATTGTGCATAAGTTCTTTTGCTTTGAACCGATCATTAATACTAAGCAAAATGAGCTTGTCAATGTTTGATAGCCACTATAGGTTTCCGCACCTGCTAAAGACTGTCGCGGCGTTAGACCCGGCCCTGAACACAAGGAGATCGTGTGGCGAATTGAACACCATCAAACAAATATGAAGTATGGTTCACTGTTTCCCTTCAATCTTCATTTCTATTCCGAGGTTTTTTCCATTAATAAAACACTACCAGTCAGATCTCTAGAAAAGGCTAAAGCAGATTAATGGTTTTTGCCATGGCAACCGAGCACGTGATATGACGTCAGCCTTTGCCTCATTCTTGTCAGTCAATGATAATGAAGAGTACAGTATTTTAATTTTGGAAACCATTATCTGAGCTGACGGTAACGAAGTCATTTCCTTTACCACAAACATAAGATCATTATAGTATATCTAGGCCCGAAGATTACCTTAAAGGGACTGCACGTCATGGAAGAAACAATGAAATCGATTTCTTAGAAGAGCGCCCTCAAGCGATTGTTTATGAAGTTGTTTTCAGTGGCCTAATGTAGAGTACATGTACATTGTTATTACACAAATCGTGGAATGAAATAAGAGTTGACATAATGAAAATGCTGAGTGTGACTTGGGAGTAGAAATGACAGGTCACATCTTGAACAGATTCACTTACATCTTAAGAGATAACAGTCACGGATGACCTGATGTCATTGACTCGGTGAAGAGGTCACTTTAAGTTCATCGTGAAAACCCCCCAGCGTACTCACACGACACCACTTTTCAGGAAACATTAAGTATGAGTAAAGACCTGATTTGACACGTATGGGTAGATATTATCGGACAAAGAGTGAAAAAAGACACGTGAGATGACGTCATCACGGAACTTAAGTTCTCAGTTCAGAGACTATCCCATCCCAGCGGATACAGCTGATACAGTGTGAGTTAAAAAAAAAAGAGTCGTTTCGCCGTGCCTTTGTTTTTATGATGTTCATTGAAGATAAGAGTTATTCATGTTGATTTCAAACTGTGTAGACGTGTTGAACCTAAGTTTACATATCGTGATAATTGACTGTTACATCTTCCGAAGAATAGCCTGCTCTAGTTTAGATGACTATAATTTTGACCTAGTTGCGGAGGTATGTTCTCTGTGTTATGTGTTTTTTTTTCTTCCATATTCCAAGTTTCGCTTCATTCTGTAATATCAAACATGATTCGGTATGAGAATGGAACATAGACGGTCTTCGACTTCATTAGCTCTGTTGAACAGCTAGCTTTTAAAAAGTGGACTTTCCTTGAGGATGTTACCCTAAAGCAATTTGTCTTTGTCTTGCATGGTGGTCATCCTAAATAGGCTGAAGTTATGAAAATACCGGACAACTCTCCACTTTGTTTTTCCTCAAGCAGTTTCTGTTATTCTTCCAAAGTTGTACGAAGCTGTTCGTATGCGGGTACACGGCCGTGTCAGTTATAAATAGCGCTGGATCGAATATGAACTCATTACTCGATAACAAGAAATCACCCACTAATATTACAGCAGTACACTGGCTGTATAAGGTGGAATGGGAGACGGGCCTACGTCGACCTTGTTACAATCATAGAGCTAGGTCCGCAGCTCTATGTTATAATTAACCCATCATTGTGCTCACATTTCGTGGCTCTTTTTATACATCGATTTTGCTATATTTTTACATCAGTTGGTTAATGGTGTGGTTGGCTTGATTAGCCAATCGGACGCCGACGTTGGCCCCGGAGCGATCCCTGGATAGTTGTTATTAATTCCGCGCTCTTGTGCATTGCTCCACACGCTGCACGCAGCAATATTCTTGGAGGGGTACGGATGCAGCAGCCTCGCCGCTCGTTGTAATGTACGATGGATTCGACTGACGCAAGTGTTTACTGCGTTATACTGCTGCAGTGACGTGGCCATCAAAGCATTGACGTATACGCGCGTAGCTCACTCCGTCTTGAGTTTAAGGCTTCAATCAACGGTAAAGATCGTCGTGGAAACCGCGCTCAGTGGGCATTGTCATTGCGTGGGCCGCTCCTGTGCTTTCGTACATCCACTACAGTACCTACCATTCCTTCGCCAATGTCGAGACAGTGAACATCATTAGAGGATTAAAGACTCGCTTTTTTGTTACCAACAAACATTTGAACAGCGTAAACTTGGTGCCTTTTTTAATTTCTTCTTATATATTTTTAAATCTTGTACCCCTGAAGGGTACCGCAAGAGGGCGTGTCTACCCACTGGGATTGTAGGAGGAGTTTGTTGGTTGGTCTTGCTGTCTGTCTGTTGATAGGAATCGATCATCATGACTCGGTGGGGGTTGTTGGTGGTAGTTCTCGCCGTGTTGGTCCTGGCTCTGGTCAGCGCTGCGCCCGTACAAGGTATGTATTTCAATTTACATTATGTCTCAAAAAAGGTACAAAAAATCCATGCACTCCAATGTCGTAATATTTCGTTCTTTACCTAAATATTCTGAAGTGTACTTTTATGTTCTGGTTATTTTTCAACTGAAACATTTTGCCATATGGTATAACAATTTTAACGTAAGTATGACCTTTGAAAGAAAACATTTTATTGGATTTGTTTACTTTATTCATTTCCCTTCTTTGTTTTAAGGAAATTTGGTACTGTTCGTTTCCTCTGTCTGAATTAAATCCATCAATTCTTGCTTTAGCGCACATAAATTAATATTCTTCACCGTGTGCTGTCGGATGTTTACGTCTACTTTCGAGAGGACTATTATGAAACACGAAAGTAAATCAGTGCTTTTCATTAAATATTTTTGAACTTTTTTTAGCAATCCCCACAAATTTTCTTCACACTTTTCTGTATTGACTACATTTGTGAATCGGAATATGACATTGTTGTGAAAAGTCTCCGGAAAGAAAATATCGCCTGGCTAAAGCCAGCAATCGTCACGTGGCATTGTGACATGAAGCAATGAAATTAGCTGTGTACAATCCCTCGAGAAGTCCAGTAATATCTTGACTAAGTCTGGCCTGGGGAGACAAGCCGAGAGCCACTCTCCCATAATCTGTGCAATCCTGTCTGATTGGTTCGCGATAGAAGCAAAATTAAGCTTCAATTTTTTCTTTCTTATAACGCCATCTTGCTGCATGACTAGTCTTCTTTCGTGATTCCCAACAGGGAGTTTCTGTCGATCCTGCGTCGTGCGCCGAGCATTTCGATATCTCCGGCTCAGGATTTGTCAATCAAAGTCGCTCTGGTTTCCCGGCACGACAGCACGAGGCAGCGGCGATGTCATACGATTCCAAACAGGCTGTAGATTAAAGGGGCAAATATAGTCATTGTAGTCAACAGAAATTAATGTTCAAACGTCGCTCGTGACGTCATGCCAAACAGCCGCCGATAGGCAACACAACTATTTTAGTATCTGTCTCGTGTTTTCAATCAGCGTCAGTTTAAAATCAGCGTCACGTGTCCAGATTAGAAACAATCTTTGACAACATACCACTAGTTGACGCTACTGGAGTCGTACTCGACTCAAGACGTTGTGACTAATTGTTTTATCTAATGCAAATCATGTGCAGATCGAACGACCATTGTTTGTTACATTGAACTCTGAATAGAAAAAAAGAAAGATTGAAGTATTCAATTCTTCAATTTGATGGTGAAAGAAAACAACTCAGAAACCATCAGACAAAAAGTGCACAATGCTGCAGGGATTCATGGCTTGAAGTGCAACATCGGCGTTACGAGTTTAAGAATATACAAAAGATTCATGAGGACATTTCGTCTGAAATTCAAAGTTCACTTTTCACGACCTCCTTTATTCTGCATAATTATGATATGGCACGTCGAAGTACACAGTCACATGTGGAATGCAGTTTTTCGTTGGTTTGCACTTACGGTATTGCGTCTCGCTTTACCTCCCACTTCACTGTATATAACGAACCTTCAATAAAAATACGCGTTTCAGGTGAAAAAACCACTGCCTATAGTTGAATACTTTATCAACCAACATCAAATTCCGTTAATATCCGAAAGTATAGTATAAAGCTATGGTAACAATGCAAAAGGGCTGCTTTGACATTTATACTTCCGAATTTTGTTATTTTAAATCCTTGATTTGTTGGCAAAATCCCGTTTATTGTGGAAGGCAGGCTCATCCACTAGACCGGTCATCTCCTGAAGACGATCAGAGCATACTAATCAGAACCGCACATCTTCTCAAAAGAGATTCTCCCACATGGTTTTACCGCAAACTCTCACTAGTTATACTACTGCCATGCAAAGTTTCAAATCTTACTAAAGGCAGGCGAATTGCCTTTATTTTATTCCAATTCGAGCCGCATTCAACTTTGTTGCAATTTCAAACTTGCCAGTTGAAGTTCTTACTCAAATAAGTCACTTCCTCGCTACAAAATAATTTGTCCCCAAAAGCAATTCAGAGTCGACCTCCCCTTTCGATAAAATCCCATGTGTCTTAATGAAGAAACGCTCAGTCTAAATCTCCCGAGAACGCTCTCCTCCGGGATTCTAGATTTACAGACAACGAGACAATACAAAATAGACCTTGCAACTGCAGTAAGGCGACAGAAACAGGAGCTCCAAGCGTAATTACTGAGCTACAGATGGGCGGACTAGAAGGCTCGAGTTACAGTTCCTTTGTAGTGAAGTTTTGGAGAAGGCTATTTGATGAAACTTGAGCTATTCCTTGAAATTATAGAGTGCCGCGTCTCCTTTCAGTCGCTTCCGGGGAAAATATATATGTTTATTTCAATAACAAGACTTATGCTTGTTACATTTTCTTTTATGAATGAGCATGTTTCTTGAAATATGACGCATGCAATGGCGTGCGCATACAATTTACATTTTTGTAAAGGTTGATCCATGCAATTATCTGCGAGATGCACACGACTAGACGCATTTTGTTGCAGATATTATTAATTGGATGAAGCATTTGTTTCACTTTCAAAGGCTTTTTGTGTCTGGAGACGATTGTGGTTCAAGAACCATGTCTTTAATCAATGATCATTATGTTTTGGTAAGGATCAACCCCGGTTGTTTTATTAGCCTGCACGGATATTATTGCTTTCTGATGACATCTTACAGAGATATTGATTTTCTTAGAAAGAGGAACCGTTCTTGATGCTGTCTTTTTATATTGACTTGGGGATATAGTCTTAGCTAGAATGCAATCCATCATTGTAATACAGTTACCGTCATTGGCATTAATGGAGCAAATCATGGGCTGGCAATCAAAAAGCAATTTTTTGTATCCACTCAAATCTACCTTTAAGGGCACATTCAAACAAGGAGATTTATCTTCAAATATTGACCGAAAGAGGAGCAATATGTTAGGAGCCCCCCCCCCCCTTCCATCCGTCAAACTAGCCTGCTCCTTGACATACTGAAGTACGTGGTTTGAATACGCGGTGCTGATGAGCAGTTGGGTGTCGCTGGTACGCACGCAAGCATAGCTGATGTGAAGGACAGACGATCGGTGTTAAACGATGGTAGAGAGACTGTAGATTACCAGTGATGATAAACACGTTTCAGTGATATGCTGGGAACGAGATGATAAAAAGCAGGAAACCAGGAATATAATTTGTCAGTTGGAAGATAAGTAGTTAAATTATGAGGGACCAGTGAGAGCTTCATTTGTACGTGCACCGCAAGCGAACAAGCTAAGAAAATTGCAAGGTGTGGACACAATGGAAAACATGGCGACCAGCTGACGTCATGTTAATTATGCATAAAGCAATTCACTGTTCAACTTCAGTCTAAATTTGGATTGCTACGTTTTAATTTGCCTGGTGCCATAACAACAGCAGGGACCTTGGGCAAAATCAATATTTAATTCTGATCAAGCTCTGCAAGATTTTACTTGTAACATTGATACGTCATGTCCAATACAAAATGTTTATAAGGTATATGAAGAGCAGTTTTGACATTTTTGTAGGAAAAAATCCAACATATTCATAGGTTCTAGATTATGATCACTACACTTCACAGACGTGCTGGGCTCTGCGAAATGAATCGCGCTTCTTCTTTTGTTTTTAAGTAAGAAAGCATATACCAAGCTTGATGTTGCTGTATGTTAGACGCATTAACCGCCAGTTTGAAATCAAATGTCACGTCGTAATTTCTGTAAACGTTTATCACGATAGAGTTTCCGTTAATATGCTATTTCAAGCTATGCATAACTCAAAGATTTCCGTCACAAAAAGCAACCATCAGCATTAGCTGCACCCAACAGTTGTCCCAAACTTTTCCCCATTCCGATCGCATGTGTTGCTAACATCAACTGGGAATTTCGCAAGCACAACGGCGGACCACCGTGCGTCCTATCGCCACATCTCCACTCACGTTGACTTCCAGATTGATTCCAGTAATTGAATTTCCGAAGAAAAGGCAAGCATCCACTCCCGAGCTAGCTGCGCGGAGAGAGGGAGAGAGCGCGCTTATTTTCCAATTCGGGAGAGCATTTTTTTTTTGCAAGAGCCATTACGGAGATACAATTGTACCAAGCCTGTGGGGCAGTTTTAGTGAGATTTATCTCATCCACGCGGGCGATAAGCTGTAGGGAATCTCTCCTATACCATTCATGATCTTGAATATCACTGGAAATGCGCAGTAAGGCCATGTGGTAGTTTATATTACCTCTTGCAGCATATTGAAGAAACGATACCCTTTCATCGAATAATAATGCTGGGGTATATTTTGTTGCGCTCCGAGCGCGCGGCATTTTTGTTGATGGACGACATCACTTCTGTTTTTCTGCTCACAATTTCTTTAAGTAATTTAGTGTGGTTAAACAAATCCGACTTTGAAGAGAAATAGCCGAGGTAAAAATAAAACTACAGACCTTCTGGCTTGCGTTCAACATTGCGCGCCATTTTGTATGGGCGGCAATGCAGTTTTCAAATTTCAGACGTTGTTTGCAACATATAAAGTTGTTAGAATTTTTTTTTATATTTATTATTTTGGTTTTAGGTTTTGTTAGTTAATATTTCAGTGATTGAAAAAGCAGGTTTTTTTTTTTAACTGACTAGACTATTCTTTAGATTTATGATGTTTATCCACAGTTGTGCCGTAGCACAACAGTCTATAAAAATTATCTAACAACTTATCTTAACTTAAATTACGTTTCATGCAGTGCCGATTTCTATACACTTTAACCTATAGTCCTATAGTTGTGCATCTTCCAAATGCATTAAGCCATTCCAAAGACCCTCGGGCAATATCATTTTAGACAATTAGCCCCCACCCCACTCTCTCATTCTCTCTCCTGCTGTCAATTTCGGGCGTCCGTTAATCATTTCAAATGGCTGTGTCCTTGCAACAGCGGAGACATTTTTACAATTAGTCTAATGAGAAGCGTAATACTGAGCGACCGCCGAATGCAGTATATGAG